TTGCTTGGAGTAAAATGGTATAAATATGGGCATTCAGTGCTCAATATGGCTTTCTGTCGAGCCAGCGGTTGATCATGTCTAGAGACTCCTTGGGCTGTCATACGGACCATGTGTCCGGCACCAAACACGCGCAGGAAAGTGAAATTTTCATGGGTGCGCACCTCGCCAGCACCCACACCGTCCACCAACCATAGCTCATCACTGGCACCATTGAATGCTTCCTTTTCTGGCCACTCGAGCTCCATCGACCACGCCTTGTTGCCATACCAATTGCATGTAAAGTCAGCATCCCCAGCGTAGATAAGCACACGGGATTGTCAGCAAGAAGGGGCGGAATATACTGGTGGAAGGGCTTCGAATGATCACCGTCATGCGAAAACCCAGTTCCAACCTTCTCCGAGCACGACTCAAACTTCTTGACTTCAGCACCAAGTGCCTTCTGCACGCCAGCATTGTTCAGATAGGTGTCAATGTCGTCCTCGATTTCGTAGCATAGCCCGTTGCCGACGCAGTAGCGCCGCACGTCATAGGGATTTCTCCCGGTATCCATGTATGGCCCTTGATAGTAGGGTAGCAATAGTTAGTCGCAGTCTCGCACCTGGATACATCATTCCATCTGTAGCACTCGCGCAAAAGGCGGGCGCATGTCGGATAGGCGGCATCCATCTTATCACAGGTCTCTTGGGGAAGTGTGGCTGGATAGGTCGAGTTGCACGCCATTGTCGAGAAATACTTGAACTGGACAAGCGGATTGACAATTCCGTTTCCAATACCAATAGAAGCGAGTGGCAAAATGCGCTGTTCCTCTTCACTCACAGAAAGAAGGCTCAGCGACCGCTTGCTCTCCAATTCCCTGTTCGCCTCATGGATTGCCTTGCCCACAGCCGGGACATAGTGGCCGCCGTATGACTCCCCGAAAACATGGAGCTCGCTGTTAGCATACTGCGGGAAGCTCTTGTAAAACAGTGGAGCAACGCATTGACGTCCCTTCCTGCCGCAACAGAGCTGAACACGTCTGAACCATATGAGAAGCCAACATTGGTGGGCTGGTCAAGGAAGATGATGTGCGCACGATCATTCCAACTAAACGGATTGTGGTCTGTGCCGTTGCCACCCTCACTGACACGGCACGGGCCAAGCTCCATCAGCAGACCGGTGAACGAACTGCAGCCAGGGCCGCCGTTGAGCCACAGAATGAGCGGCGCATCTTCGTGCTTGACCTTGCGTGCTTCAAAGAACCAGAAGAAAAAGTGCTTGTCCTCCGCGGTATCGAGATACCCGCTGTACTGGTTGACGCTGGTATCACACAGACCCGGGTTCTTCACGCGCAGTCGATAGTTGGGGATCGCATCCATTGTGGACACTGTTGTCCACTGGCTCATGTCTACCATCGCTGGGTTAGCCACACGGCCAGATACCTTAGATGCTGCGGCGCCGTGATGGTGCTGGTTGAAAACATGCTGGTGAGCTGGCGTGGCAGTGACTGCAGTAGCCAGGAGAAGCACAGTGCCAAGTGCCAAGCGTGACCTAGTAAATAGCATGTCAAAAATGGATTCTTATGAGAACAATAAGAAAAGAGTAGGCAAAGCAGTCCCTCACATTTTTCTCACAGTTGCCACCTAAACTCGCAGACACATGATAGCTGCTGTGCATAGTTGATTCGCATAGACCTTATGAAAAGGGTGCGGGGAAAAGATAACCCGGATCGACTAGAACGGCTTTCCGTCGAGCCAGCGGTTGATCATGTCCAGCGAGTTCTTGGGCTGGTCGTAGGGAACCATGTGTCCAGCGCCGAACACACGCAGGAATGTGAAGTTCTCGAAGGTGCGGGCCTCACCAGCCTGCTCGCTGTCGACATTCCACTCAGTATCGTCGGCCCCGTTGAAACCGTCCTTGCCGGACCAGTCGAGCTTGAGCGACCATGCCTTGTTGCCGTACCAGTTACAGATCCAGTCTGCATCACCAGCGTAGTTGAGGACACGAATTCCAGCTTCAAGGAGCGGGGGATTTCACGCACCAATGGCTTCATCCAATCGCCGTTGAGAAGGAACCCCTCGCTGACCTTTTGGTTGCAGCCGACAAACTTTGGCACGTCAACACCAAGCTCCTGCTGAACAGCCGGAATGTTCAGATACCTGTCGATATCGTCCTCAATTTCATAGCACAAATTGTCGCCCACGCACTTCTTGCGAACATCGTAAGGGTTGTTGTGCGTGCCATCGCTGTAAGGACCCATGATGCGACTGAGGCAGTAGTACTCGGCTGGGATACACGCGAGGCGGGTTTGCCACTTGTAGCATGCCTTGACCAAAAAGTCGCAGGTAGGAACAGCAGCATCCATCTTGTCGCAAGTCTCTTGAGGAAGAACGGGTGGGTATGTAGAGTTGCAAGCCATTTTGGCGTAGTACGCATGCTGAGTCAACACATCAACCAAGCCGTTACCAATACCAATTGAAACAAGCGGAAGGACATCGACCTCAGCCTCTGCTTTGCTAAGCAGGCTCATTTCACGCTTCTTGACCAGTTCCAGATTAGCCTCGTGGATAGCTTTGCCAATAGCTGGCACGTAATGACCGCCGTAAGACTCGCCAAACACATGCAGCTCGCTATTGGCATACTGCGGGAAACTCTTGTAGAACATGCGCAGGAACACGTTGACGTCCTTTCCGGCATCATACGAGTTGTCAACCTTCTTTCCATACGAGAATCCTGTGTTCAGCGGCTGGTCAATGAAGATGATATTCGCGCGGTCGTTCCATCCATAAGGATTATACTCGGTGCTGTTTCCACCTTTGCTCACACGGCACGGACCGTGCTCCATCAGAAGACCAGTGAAGGAACTGCAGCCAGGTCCACCGTTGGTCCACAGAATTAGAGGTGCCTCATCGCTGGGGACATTTCGCGCTTCGAAGAACCAGAAGTAAAAGTGCTTGTCCTCATCGGTGTCCATATACCCACTGTACTGTGTGACACTGGTATCACATAGCTGCGGGCTCTTGATGCGCAAGCGGTAGTCGGGAATGCGTCCATGGTTGTTATTTGAGTCCATTGTCCACTGCTTTTGGCATTTTGGAGAGACCCATCTGCGAACCCTGGTCGATGGTGGGGGCTAAACACAAACTGATCTGAAGGAGCAGCGTTGACAGCACTGCCTGCAAAGGCAAGGACGGATAAAGCACAAACGATAAACTTCATTCCTGAATCAAAATAACCTGGAGTTAAAAGAACAACTGGATTTAAAAATGGCTGGCAGCAAAAGAAAAGGGTTTTTATAGCCGAACCGCCCTGTGCCAAGACAGAGCATGCTGTCCATTGCCAAAGTGGAGGGATAGTTCAGCTACCGCAGCTCGTCAAAACCCGTTGGGATGATTTGCAGACCTGTTGATCACCACGGCGAATCATGGCGATCGATGTTCTCACGAACCTATATCTGCAATACTAATCCGCAGACATCGCATGTAGAGAGACATGCTTGCGATGATATTGCCTCAGCGATACCCCCTTCATTTGCATGGCACGAATCCGTTGCCGCAGCGGCCGGGTGCATGGCAGCAGGTGCACAGACCCGGACCTTTGAGGGAGACATGATATCTCCCTTGGTATGATGTCTCAAATCGAAACATAGATCGAAGACATTCGTTTCGTAGTGAGTGTATGTGCCAATTGTTAGGGTATGTAATCATTTCTCTTTTCTCTCTTTCTCTTTTCTCACTGTGACTTTCACTTGAAGTACACACCTCTATATACTGCATACTTACACCACACAACTCCCCAACAACCAACAGTTTCACCAGGCACTATTCAGACAACCATCATAATGAGTATATAGTTATTCTGTTGTCAAACACTACTCTTATTTACATAAGGTAACTAGTGGCACACCTGGTATATCTACTTCTATGCCTATGCTCTATGCACAACACATATGGTTTAAACACCCTGGCTTTATTTACTAGGTGTTGTATAGGCTTGATCCCTTTGGTATATTTTATAAGGATGCTAGTTTTTACAATGCATCATAGTAAAGTACCTACAGATGCTTTGCCTCAGTATTCTCTTGCATAATTCGCCTGGAAACACATGTTGGCTACAGATGATGCATGTTAGCATCACCTTGTTTATATGAGATAGAGTTGTGTAATAGATAATCAGTTTGGTGCTAGATGAATAATGAAATTTGAATGCAGATGAATGCATTTTAATACTGGTCATGATCAAGTACTGGCTGATGCCTGGGTTTTCTATATCAATACCTAAGTAACCCACCACTATATTGGCATTTAATTTTTACCAGTGCTAGGAATATGTAGCATGGTTGACAATTTTTTGCTTAGTCAGCTCCATTTATTTTTTGTTTATAACAGTGACTCTAGCCCACCTTTTGGCAGCCAGCCAACTAGCCATATTTCGTACTTGCAGAATATAAAGCAGCCCAAATAGTGGACCCCCTATCATAGGTATAGCTATTTTCACATTTTGAAAAAAAAAAAAGTACCTTGATTTTTCAAACTGCAACTTAGTGAATGGTATCTCAACTTGCTCTACCAGGTATCTAAGCCAGGCTGGCATTACCCCTGACTGATATCTATAGCCAATGGAGGCCATTCATAAATATAAAAGTTTAAAGAAACTAAATATCTGTTAACAGAATAACCAATTAACAAATAAGAAATCAATTACTAACAGTAGATAAATATTTTAAAAAACAGAATGTTTAGCAATGGCCAAAAAGATTCTAGCAACTAGATTAAACAAACAAACAAAGATGCCCAAATATGGTGCTTCTATGAAACCCCCTTCGGCATCCTGAAAAATTTCAGTTGATTTCTCGGGACGCAGCCTCTATCTCAGTAGAAGCATATTAATTGTGTATCAACTGAAATTTTTCAGGATGCCGAAGGGGGTTTCGTAGAAGCACCATATTTGGCATCAGAACAAGAAAACAACAAAAATATTAATAATTATTAAATAGCTAACCATTTCTGACTGATCTCCTTATAGAATTAGATTTATTCAAAAGCTGCCATTTTAAAACATCATGTTCAAGTCATCAAGTCGTTATCATCCTATTTATAACTATTTATCTAATACCAAGCAATCATATAACTCATCAATTTTAGAAAGTATCAAACTATACCATTTTAAAAAATCATAATAAATTCATCAAGTTATTAGAATCCCATCTGTAATTAATAGATATGCACCAAGCAATCATATGTGTCATCAATTTTAGAAAGAATCAAGCTGTGCTATTTTAAAACATCAAATTCAAGTCATCAAGTCATTAATACTCCATCTGTAATTAATCGATATGCACCAAGCAATCATATGTATCATCAATTTTAGATTGAAGGAATCAATTTTGAATTTCAACAATAGATGCTTCTAACTCTGCTTTTTGGGGGCAAAGTATGTATTGGTTCCACTTGTGTTGACTTATCATGTGTATCAGGGTAATCAAAGTTGCTCATAACCCAGAGTGAGTGATGATGATCAATTTGTACATCACTGTTTGCTAGTATCTTCTTCATATTATAGAGTAAGCAGCATAACTTCATTTGCAACATTGTAAACATTCCTATTCTTTACTCTAACAATCTCCCTGTTTGACAGCCTTTTGAATGTATTGCCTAGTTCTCCAAATGTATTTTCTACCATTGAACGGAATGATCCAAGATGGGAATTATATTCAGCTTTCTGTTTCTGATAAGCTTGTTCCTCTCTGCTTTCTTACTGGTAAACAAAAGTTGTGCAGTCCAAAAGTATCCTGCTCTTCTTCCTCAGTCATCTCTTCCAAAATACTTTGTGGATAACCACCATCAAGCACAATACAATCAATAGGTGATATATTCTTCAGCAACCCCATGTTCTTAATCATTCTTGAGTCTGGGTGATCTCTACAGTCTTCAGTTGGGAGGCCATTCATAAATAAGAAAGTTTAAAGAAACTTAATATCTTGTATCAGAATAACCAAGTATTAAATAACAAATCAATTACTAGCAGTTGAAAAATATTTTAAAAATCAGAATGTTTAGTGATGGCCAAAAAGATTTTAGCACCTAGATTAACTAATAAACAAAAATATAAGAACAGACGCTTCTCCGAAACCCCCTTCGGCATCCTGAAAAATTTCAGTTGATTTCTCGGGACGCAGCCTGTATCTCAGTAGAAGCATATTAATTGTGTATCAACTGAAATTTTTCAGGATGCCGAAGGGGGTTTCGGAGAAGTTCAAAAAAAACAAAAGAACAAAAAGTTTTACAACTTTCTAATTATTTTTTACTTAGTTTAGTGATTGTGAATGACCTCCTAGTGATTGTGAATAACCTCCAAATGCTGCCATTTTAAAACATCATGTTCTAGTCATCAAGTCATTATCATCCTATTTATAACTATTTTTCTAATACCAAGCAATTATATTTATCATCAATTTTAAAAAGAATCAAATTATGCCATTTTAAAAAATCATAATAAATTCATCAAGTTGTTAGAATCCCATCTGTAATTAATAGATATGCACCAAGCAATCATATATGTCATCAATTTTAGAAAGTATCAAACTTGCTATTTTAAAATATCAAATATACAAATCACATAAGAATATGCTTAATACAGTAAATATTCTTAGAAGAGTTGATGATAATATATCTATTGTTCTAAATCTGAGAAATTACTTCTGGTCTATATATCCTATATCTAAGCAATATCACACTTTTGATAAGATGTGATTAGTTTTACTATTAAGAGATGCATATTAGTTAGATAGACAGAAAATACTCAAATAAGCAAATAATATGATTTGTCTATAAGAAATGTCTGAGGTGTAGTTTCTATAGGTGAACAAAAGATCAATGCACTAACAACAGTGATTGAAGATGCCATACTAGATGAAATAAGGGCAATATTTATATGAGAATCTAGATCTTAAGCCTTTAGTAAAGAGTTGCTCATATTGTTCTCTATTTTAGTAATGGTTTTGTAGTTATATATTATGCACTCTGTATATTCAGAGGACATTCCTACTACTATTTAGATATTCATATTAATAGGAGAGATATACAGCCAACTCATATTTAGATACCAGATGATAGTTCTTTTAGAAAAGCAATTACTCTATAGAAAGGAATAATACACCAACAAATATATCTAAGAGTTGTAAGTGAGGGCTACAGAATGGTCACAGTTATATAACTACCATTTTAAAACATATTATATGCTACCATCCACTCCATATATCTATGGGAATTTTGACACACTTCATATATATGTTCAACCTTTATCTCATAAAAAGTTCCACTAAGTTGGATCCAATTATGCACTTGGAATGCTAAGCCAGCACTCATGTTAAAGTCATGGATAAGCACTAAAGTTAGCATATCTCTTTCTTCAGTACTCAGATCAGCTATATGTTTCTTAAGGAAATTATGGAATGATGGCATTTTCTAAAATTGATAATGAACCAGAGTTGTCTATCTTATCTTACCACCCATGAACAATCAATTATAAGAATTACAAGAGAAGGAGTAGAATGTGCATTAGATAATAAAGTTTTAAAAGTTCTAACTATCTTTTACTAAATTTAGCAGTTGTGAATACCCTCCATATTGAACAATATTGATAAGAACTAGCTATTTTAAAATCAAGTAGCTAGCATCATATCTGTTGTTACCCCATATCTACAAAGCAGTCATAGTTGTCATCAATTTTAGATTGTAGAAATCTATTTTGTAGTTCAACCATTGATGCTTCAAACTCAACCTTTTGAGGTAAAGTATATGTTGGTTCCATTTGTGTTGATCTTTCATTGTGTGATTCAGGATAGTCAAAGTTTGTCATAACCCAGAGAGTATGATGATGTTCTACTTGCACATCACTGTTTGCTAGTATTTTCTTCATATTATATAATATACAGCACAGTTTCATTTGTACATTGTAAACATTCTTATTCTTTACTCGAACAATCTCCTTATTTGATAACCTTTTGAATGTTGTTCCTAGTTCTCCAAATGTGTTTTCTACCATAGAACGGAATGATCCCAAGATGGGAATTGTACTCTACTTCTGCTTCTAGTAAGTTTACCCCTCTCTGCTTTCTAATTGGCAAACAAAAGTTATGCATTCCAAAGTCCTCCTGCTCTTCTTCTTCTGTCATCTCTTGAAGAACACTCTGTGGATAGCCACCATCAAGCACAATACAATCTATAGGGGATATCCTCTTTAATAATCCCATGTTTTTTAATCATTCTTGAATCTGGATTATCTCTACAGTCTTCTGTTGGTGAAACAAGTAGAACCATTCCATTTATATCAATGCAAACTTGTGTACGATATCCTGACTTCTTCAACTTGAAGGAATAAAGTCCTGGTTTGTATGCTCCATTATGTAGTGCTCTTGAGTCATGGCCATCTAACATTAGTGTTACATGTTTAAACCCATGAGGATTCTGCATCTTTGCTGCAAGTAGTCGTAGCTCTGGAGTAGAAAACATTGTTTGCAGATAGAATGTCAGCTTCTTATTCAAATCTTGCATTTCTGAAATGTAGAACATATTGTGAATAACTTGATAGCTACTTCTTGGAAGGAATCTTTCCATTTCATTGATTGACAATCCTTCTACAAGTTGGTATAAGATAAGCAATCCTTTTTCTATACTTCTGTAAGGACTATGGATAATGAGTGCAGCCAAACAAAACATTCAGAAAGAAGAAAACAGGAATCATCCCTAGATGTTTAAGAAGTGTATCTTTTATAAGTTTGATTTCTCTTACTTCACGAACTTCACTTCTGTGATATTTTGTATGCTTAAGAACTACCCAGTCATCATTCAGAAATTTCCACTTATTTGTGTAGAGCTTATGATATTCCTTTTCTCTGAGTTCTTGTAATTGATGATTCATCTGTGCGATGTACTAATAAATTTAAAAGTTGTCATTTATTATAATGGGCCTATTCTATAAGTTCTTCAACACTCAACTTTCTGAGCTAGATGAGGAAGAGAGAGAAAAGCTAGTCCAACTACTTAGCAGAAATTTCAATATGAGCAGAAAATTAACAGTGTATATCAGAGCATGGGATTAAGAATGTTTCAGAAGATAGGGGTGTTAGTATTAAGCATGTGTTTGATGTATGCAACTACAGTTGTGCAGATATGGAAGTAATGGTTGCCAACTGCCCATTTTAAAACTAGATCCTCTCAGTATGGATAATACGATTATGAATTCTAGTTACTTTAAGCACCACTTCTTGATTTGGTTGGCCAATAACAGAAGCAATACATTCACCAAATGGACTACTTGCCAGTACTTTGATAAGTATATGAGTGCTACTAACTATTCATTGTGAATCATAGAAATATCTAGATAGTAGAAAGGTAATCCTCTAAAAGTATATAGGAAGTAATAACTAACTAAGAACTCATCACCAACATGAAGTATGTTGTAAGCAACTTTATATCTAGCTGGCTTAAGATCAGTATTTTCTCTTAAATATGTAGGTTCTAGATCATCAAGTTCAATATTGCTAATATCTGCAAGAAGGTCATCTATTCCTAAACCATCAGTATTATCACTAACAATTGAGAGAGTTGAAAGCCTAACTTTCTCTCTTGCTTGCTGAGCTGTTAACCAATCAATATGTATTCCACGATAGTTAATAAGTCCCATTTCAGCAAATGTATGTTGTTGTCTTTCTCTTGAAGCAACTGGCCAGAAGGAAGTTTCTCTGACTAGGAACAATAGTGATGTTTGTGATATCTCTTCTCAGAACAACTTCAGATTCAAGAGGACCACTACTAGTAGCATATGTAAGAAGAACAGTTGGGTGTCCATTGAATGTAAGATTAGAAACAACAGTCATCATATCCTCATTCTTTTTCAACTTTTTAGCTATTCCTTGTTTCTTCTTAGTTGTTTTATTGAACCAATGGCAGTAACCAAGAGAATGTTCTTTATGGAAGTAAATACACAATGTATGTTTGTTATGAATCTGATCAACTAGTGCCATCCATTGCTTTTCATAAGATGTTGCAAATGTCCTGCAGTTATGAAGAAACTCCAAGAGTATTGACAATTAAGTTTGTGTTCCATTCTACTTCCTTCAACTCAGGAGAGTGAACAGTAAGCTCAAGTCTCATTAATCCTTCATTCCTACAAGCAACAAGTGTTTCACCAAACTGTTGAGAAGTTGGCATCACTAGCTCTGATAGCTTAGAAGTAAGTTGATTGCGAACTTCACCACTTTCTAAGAGTTGAACAAATTTATTATACAACTTGTTCCTTATTCTTATCTCATCTTCTTCAGTAAACCAGCTAATACAGTTTGCTCCAACTTTATTTTCATCATCAAGAATATCTTTGCTACTGATTCCATTATCAAGAAGAAATTCCTTAACAATAGCTCTAGAAGAATATTTAGACAATCCATTGTAATATCATAGTTTTGAAGAAATACATGTTCTTGATGCATCCTAAGAAAGATATCAGTTAGTGCAGGATCAGCTATTGCAACATTTGGAGCAGATACTTTATACACAGAGACATTACCATTTGTCACACTTGTGCCTGCATCTTATGTATTTAAAACTATAACCATCACCAAATACTCTATGCAATCTATCAAAAGGAGTAATATTGTTAAGTTGATCCATTAAGAGTATATGAGTCAGGAATCTCAACAACACATGAATCCATAAAGATATCAGATTGCTGAATAAATCCTTGCTGTTCAATGCCATTACTAGTATATCTTGCATCAGATATATCAGGCATATTATCTCTATTCTTCAACTCAAGTCCCAAAAGGGAGTTAAGATGTACTCTTAAGGAGGCCATTCATAAATAAGAAAGTTTAAAGAAACTAAATATCTGTTAACAGAATAACCAATAACAAATAAAAATCAATACAACAGTAGAAAATATTTAAAAAAAAAAAAAAAAAAGATTAAAAAAAAAAAAAAAAAAAAATACTAGAAAGCATCCTGAAAAATCAGTATTCACAGTGTATTCAGTAAACAATAATTGTATCAACTGAAATTTCAGGATGCCGAAGTTCGTAGAAGACATATTGCATCTGAACAAAAAAAATAAAAAATTAATAATATTAAATACTAACCATTCTGACTGATCTCCTTGTTATTCTGATACAAGATATTAAGTTTCTTTAACTTCTTATTTGTGAATGTCTTTATTACTTGCTTTGTTAGATAGGGAGGTCATTCAGAGATAGTTATCTGCACAACAATTATTTGTGTATATTGAAACTATTGGCAATTTCAGTGAAATAAAAATTTCACCCAAACCGCCATCGGCATCTTGGAAAAGTTTCAGTGAACATAATTTCCTTGTGGTTGCTTAGCCACATCTATTGAGATATTGACTTTTGTTGCCCAATGATAATTAACCCCAAATATGCAAAGTTTTTCTTTCTGGTTGAAATTATGTTCACTGAAACTTTTCCAAGATGCCGATGGCGGTTTGGGTGAAATGGCAAAAAAAATATTTGTATTTTTAAAATCAATTATAAGCACAGAAACATTCTGGACACAATAATTAATATTAACCATGATAAAAATAATTAGTAGCAAAAAACTGTTCTGAAAACGATTAATCAAATATCTAACTAAGTAAATTGCAAATATCTAAAATTTACAAGTCCAGGAATGACCCCCTTCCAAAGTGAACTAAGAGTGTTGCTAACAAGAGTGTTGTCAGAAAGAAGAAATATGCCTGATGTTGCTGATGCTAGGTATACTGCTAGAGGTATAGAGCAACTTGGATTTGAGCATTCTTCTGAAATGTTTGTTGACTCATTCATTGTTGAGGTTGTTATTGAGAAATGCATTGAATCTGATATGAAGGTAAAGCAGAAGTCTGCTAGTGTTAGATTGCATAAAGTATTTGGAGAAGGTTTTGGCTATAAGTATATTAGAAGCAAGATTAGTGAACAATATGGACTAGTTGCTATTTACAAAGTATCCACACCAAACATTGCAATAGTTAGTTCTTTGTTAACAGTGAAGTTTGCTACAATGGCTAAACACAAAATATACTTACAGAATTATGATATCACAATAGATTGTAAGAATGTGTCTTCTAGGAATATTATTTATAAATACCTTTTAGAAAGAGGAGTTGAAAAGAAAGATGTTGTAGATGATTTACGCAAGTCTGGCTCTAACTGTATTAGCTGGTTTACAAAGAAAGGAGATATTAAAGTTAAGAACAAAATTTACAATAAGTTTATTCAACTTCTTGAGAGTGGTGAAGTTCGTAATCCTCTTAGTTCTAAACTTTCAGAATTTGTAATGCCAACTTTGCACAACTTTGGAGAAACATTGTATGCTTGTAGAAACTCTGGTTTGACTAGGATAGAACTAACTGTACATTCTTCTCAGATGCAAACAGTTGAATGGAATAGTAACTTGCTTCTTACTACACTTGACTTTATGAATGGATGCAGAACATTTGCAACTTCTTATGAAAAGCAGTGGATGGCACTTGTTGATAAGGTTAGTAGTTGTTATACAGTTTGTATTTATGTGAGACAACAGCATACTCTAGCATATTGTCATTGGTTTAACTCTATCACATCAAAGAAGCAAGGAATTATTAAGAAGCTAACTAAGAATGAAGATCCAATGGTAGTTGTTGCTAATCTCTCATTCAACAATAGACCTACACTTTATCAAATATATGATTCACTTGAGAGTGGTCTTGAAATAGAAAAAGTTCTTAGAAGAGTTGATGAGAATATAACTATTGTTCCAAGTCAGAGAAACTCCTTCTGGTCAACTTATCCTACAACTAAGCAGTATCACACTTTTAAAGAGATGGGATTAGTTAACTACAAAGGAATGCATATTGGTTGGATAGATAGTAAGCAAGCAAAGAGTAAGATATGTTTATCAGAAATGTCAGAGGTTGATTATTCTGCAAAAGAGGAAAACATCAATGCATTAACAACAGCAATAGACAATATCACACTAGATGAAACTAGACATATATTTATCAAAGAGAATACAGATCTGAAACCATCATTGTATAGAGTTGCTTATAATGTTCTTCAGTTAGGTAATGAATTTACAGTTACACATTATGCACTCCATACTTTCAGAGGATATTCATACTTCTATCTAGATATTCTTATTAAAGGGAGAGATAAACAGCCAACTCTTATCAGGACACCAGCAGATAGTTCAATTGGAAAAGCAATTTCTCAACAGTTAGGAGAAACAAAGCAACAAAGCTACTTAAGAGTTATAAGTATAGGATATAGAACAATCACAGTTGAATAGCAGCCATTTTAAAACAAAGCATAGGAGATCAGTCAGAAATGGTTAGCTATTTAATAATTATTAATATTTTTATTGTTTTCTTGTTCAGATGCCAAATATGGTGCTTCTACGAAACCCCCTTCGGCATCCTGAAAAATTTCAGTTGATACACAATTAATATGCTTCTACTGAGATACAGGCTGCGTCCCGAGAAATCAACTGAAATTTTTCAGGATGCCGAAGGGGGTTTCGTAGAAGCACCATATTTGGCATCTTTGTTTGTTTGTTAATCTAGTTGCTAGAATCTTTTTGGCCATTGCTAAACATTCTGTTTTTTAAAATATTTATCTACTGTTAGTAATTGATTTCTTATTTGTTAATTGGTTATTCTGTTAACAGATATTTAGTTTCTTTAAACTTTTATATTTATGAATGGCCTCCTTAAGAGTACATCTTAACTCCCTTTTGGGACTTGAGTTGAAGAATAGAGATAATATGCCTGATATATCTGATGCAAGATATACTAGTAATGGCATTGAACAGCAAGGATTTATTCAGCATTCTGATATCTTTATGGATTCATGTGTTGTTGAGATACCTGAATCATATGCTCTTATAGATCAGATTAACAATATTACTCCTTTTGATAGATTGCATAGAGTTTTTGGTGATGGATACAGATTTAAGTATATGAAGTGCATGGTAAGTGTGAGAAATGGTAAAGTCTCTGTTTACAAAGTATCTGCTCCAAATGTTGCAATAGCTGATCCTGCACTAACTGATATCTTTCTTAGGATGCATCAGGAACATGTATTTCTTCTAAACTATGATATTACAATGGATTGTCTAAACATATCTTCTAGGGCTGTGATTAAGGAATTTCTTCTTGATACTGGAATCAGTAGCAATGATATTCTTGATGATGAAGATAAAGTTGGAGCAAACTGTATTAGCTGGTTTACTGATGAAGATGAAATAAGAATTAGGAACAAGTTGTACAATAAATTTGTTCAACTTCTAGAAAGTGGTGAGGTTCGCAATCAACTTACTTCTAAGCTATCAGAGCTAGTAATGCCAACTTCTCAGCAATTTGGTGAAACACTTGTTGCTTGTAGGAATGAAGGATTAATGAGGCTTGAGCTTACTGTTCACTCTCCTGAGTTGAAAGAAGTAGAATGGAACACAAACTTAATTGCTAGTACACTGGAGTTTCTTAGTGATTGTAGGACATTTGCAACATCTTATGAAAAGCAATGGATGGCACTAGTTGATCAGATTCATAACAAACATACATTGTGTATTTACTTTCATAAAGAACATGCTCTTGCTTACTGCCATTGGTTCAATAGGATAACTAAGAAGAAACAAGGAATAGCTAAAAAGTTGAAAGAGAATGAAGATATGATGACTGTTGTTTCTAATCTTACATTTAATGGACACCCAACTCTTCTTCTTACATATGCTACCAGTAGTGGTCCTCTTGAATCTGAAGTTGTTCTGAGAAGAGATATCACAAACATCACTATTGTTCCTAGTCAGAAAAATTCTTTCTGGCCTGTTGTTTCAAGAGAAAGGCAACAACACACATTTGCTGAAATGGGACTTGTTAACTATCGTGGAATGCATATTGATTGGTTAACAGCTCAGCAAGCAAGAGAGAAAGTTTGTCTCTCAACTCTCTCAAGTATTAGTGAGGATACCGATGACCTAGGAATAGATAATCTTATTGCTGATATTAGCAACATTGAACTTGATGATCTAGAACCCACATATATAAGAGAAAATACTGATCTTAGGCCAGCTAGATATAAAGTTGCTTATAACATACTTCATGTTGGAGATGAGTTCCTAGTTAGTCATTATTTCTTATATACTTTTAGAGGGTTGCTATTCTATTATCTAGATATCTATATGATTCACAATGAAGTAGTTAGCAGTACTCACACTCATATCAAAATACAAGCAAGTAGTCCATTTGGAGAATATATTGCTTCTATTATTGGTGAACCAAGTCAAGAAGTGGTACTTAAAGTAACTAGAATTCATAATCGTATTATCCATACTGAGAGGATCTAGTTTTAAAATGGGCAGTTAGCAACCATTACCTCCATATCTGCACAACTGTAGTTGCATACATCAAACACATGCTTAATACTAACACCCCTATCTTCTGAAACATTCCTGATCCAAGCTCTGATATATACTGTTAATTTTCTGCTCATATTGAAATTTTTGCTAAGTAGTTGGACTAGCTTTTCTCTCTCTTCCTCATCTAGCTCAGCAAGTCGAGTGTTGAAGAATTTGTAGAATGGGCCCATTGCAATAAATGACAACTTTTAAATTTATGAGTGCCTCACAATGATGAATCATCAATTACAAGAACTCAGAGAAAAGGAGTATCACAAACTGTACACAAACAAATGGAAGTTTCTGAATGATGACTGGGTAATTCTAAAACATACAAAATATCACAGAAGTGAAGTTCGTGAAGTAAGAGAAATTAAACTAATAAAGGACACACTTCTTAAACATCTAGGGATGATTCCTGTTTTCTTCTTTCTGAATGTTTTGTTTGGTTGCACTCATTATCCATGTCCTTATAGAAGTGTAGAGAAAGGACTGCTCATCATATACCAACTTGTAGAAGGATTGTCTATCAATGAAATGGAAAGATTCATTCCTAGGAGTAGCTATCAAGCTATTCACAATATGTTCTATATTTCTGAAATGAAAGATTTGAATAAGAAGCTAACATACTATCTGCAAACAATGTTTTCAACTCCAGAACTACGAGTCTTTGCAGCAAAGATACAGAATCCTCAAGGGTTTAAACATGTAACACTAATGTTAGATGGCCATGACTCCAAGAGCACTACACAATGGAGCATATAAACCAGATCTCTATTCATTCAAATTGAAAAAATCAGGATATCGCACACAACTATGCATTGATGTGAATGGAATGGTTCTACTTGTTTCACCAACTGAAGACTGTAGAGATCACCCAGACTCAAGAATGATTAAGAACATGGGGTTGCTGAAGAATATATCACCTATTGATTGCATTGTGCTTGATGGTGGCTATCCACAAAGTATTTTGGAAGAGATGACTGAGGAAGAAGAGCAGGATACTTTTGGACTGCATAACTTTTGTTTACCAGTAAGAAAGCAGAGAGGAACAGGCTTATCAGAAACAGAAGCTGAATACAATTCCCATCTTGGATCATTCCGTTCAATGGTAGAAAATACATTTGGAGAACTAGGCAATACATTCAAAAGGCTGTCAAACAGGGAGATTGTTAGAGTAAAGAATAGGAATGTTTACAATGTGCAAATGAAGTTATGCTGCTTACTCTATAATATGAAGAAGATACTAGCAAACAGTGATGTACATATTGATCATCATCACTCACTCTGGGTTATGAGCAACTTTGATTACCCTGATACACATGATAAGTCAACACAAGTAGAACCAATACATACTTTGCCCCAAAAAGCAGAGTTAGAAGCATCTATTGTTGAAATTCAAAATCGATTCCTTCAATCTAAAATTGATGATACATATGATTGCTTGGTGCATATTGATTAATTACAGATGGAGTATTAATGACTTGATGACTTGAATTTGATGTTTTAAAATGGCACAGTTTGATTCTTTCTAAAAATGATTCTATATATATTTGCTTGGTGCATATCTATTAATTACAGATGGGATTCTAACAACTTGATGAATTTATTATGATTTTTTAAAATGGCATAGTTTGATTCTTTTTAAAATTGATGATATATATGATTACTTGGTATTAGATAAATAGTTATAAATAGGATGATAACGACTTGATGACTTGAACATGATGTTTTAAAATGGAACCTTTTGATTAAATCTAATTCTATAAGGAGATCAGTCAGAAATGGTTAGCTATTTAATAATTATTAATATTTTTATTGTTTTCTTGTTCAGATGCCAAATATGGTGCTTCTACGAAACCCCCTTCGGCATCCTGAAAAATTTCAGTTGATACACAATTAATATGCTTCTACTGAGATACAGGCTGCGTCCCGAGAAATCAACTGAAATTTTTCAGGATGCCGAAGGGGGTTTCGTAGAAGCACCATATTTGGCATCTTTGTTTGTTTGTTAATCTAGTTGCTAGAATCTTTTTGGCCATTGCTAAACATTCTGTTTTTTAAAATATTTATCTACTGTTAGTAATTGATTTCTTATTTGTTAATTGGTTATTCTGTTAACAGATATTTAGTTTCTTTAAACTTTTATATTTATGAATGGCCTCCATTATAATAAATGACAACTTTTAAATTTATTAGTACATCGCACAGATGAATCATCAATTACAAGAACTCAGAGAAAAGGAATATCATAAGCTCTACACAAATAAGTGGAAATTTCTGAATGATGACTGGGTAGTTCTTAAGCATACAAAATATCACAGAAGTGAAGTTCGTGAAGTAAGAGAAATCAAACTTATAAAAGATACACTTCTTAAACATCTAGGGATGATTCCTGTTTTCTTCTTTCTGAATGTTTTGTTTGGCTGCACTCATTATCCATGTCCTTACAGAAGTATAGAAAAAGGATTGCTTATCTTATACCAACTTGTAGAAGGATTGTCAATCAATGAAATGGAAAGATTCCTTCCAAGAAGTAGCTATCAAGTTATTCACAATATGTTCTACATTTCAGAAATGCAAGATTTGAATAAGAAGCTGACATTCTATCTGCAAACAATGTTTTCTACTCCAGAGCTACGACTACTTGCAGCAAAGATGCAGAATCCTCATGGGTTTAAACATGTAACACTAATGTTAGATGGCCATGATTCAAGAGCTCTACACAATGGTGCATACAAACCAGGACTTTATTCCTTCAAGTTGAAGAAGTCAGGATATCGTACACAAGTTTGCATTGATATAAATGGAATGGTTCTACTTGTTTCACCAACAGAAGACTGTAGAGATAATCCAGATTCAAGAATGATTAAAAACATGGGATTATTAAAGAGGATATCCCCTATAGATTGTATTGTGCTTGATGGTGGCTATCCACAGAGTGTTCTTCAAGAGATGACAGAGGAAGAAGAGCAGGAGGACTTTGGAATGCATAACTTTTGTTTGCCAATTAGAAAGCAGAGAGGGGTAAACTTACTAGAAGCAGAAGTAGAGTACAATTCCCATCTTGGATCATTCCGTTCAATGGTAGAAAACACATTTGGAGAACTAGGAACAACATTCAAAAGGTTGTCAAATAAGGAGATTGTTCGAGTAAAGAATAAGAATGTTTACAATGTGCAAATGAAACTGTGCTGTGTATTATATAATATGAAGAAAATACTAGCAAACAGTGATGTGCAAGTAGAACATCATCATACTCTCTGGGTTATGACAAACTTTGACTATCCTGAATCACACAATGAAAGATCAACACAAATGGAACCAACATATACTTTACCTCAAAAGGTTGAGTTTGAAGCATCAATGGTTGAACTACAAAATAGATTTCTATAATCTAAAATTGATGACAACTATGACTGCTTTGTAGATATGGGGTAACAACAGATATGATGCTAGCTACTTGATTTTAAAATAGCTAGTTCTTATCAATATTATTCAATATAGAGGGTATTCATAACTGCTAAATTTAGTAAAAGATAGTTAGAACTTTTAAAACTTTATTATCTAATGCACATTCTACTCCTTCTCTTGTAATTCTTATAATTGATTGTTCATGGGTGGTAAGATAAGATACACAACTCTGGTTCATTATCAATTTTAGAAAATGCCATCATTCCATAACTTCCTTAAGAAACATATAGCTGATCTGAGTACTGAAGAAAGAGACATGCTAACTTTAGTGCTTATCCATGACTTTAACATGAGTGCTGGCTTAGCATTCCAAGTGCATAATTGGATCCAACTTAGTGGAACTTTTTATGAGATAAAGGTTGAACATATATATGAAGTGTGTCAAAATTCCCATAGATATATGGAGTGGATGGTAGCATATAATATGTTTTAAAATGGTAGTTATATAACTGTGACCATTCTGTAGCCCTCACTTATAACTCTTAGATATATTTGTTGGTGTATTATTCCTTTCTATAGAGTAATTGCTTTTCTAAAAGAACTATCATCTGGTATCTAAATATGAGTTGGCTGTATATCTCTCCTATTAATATGAATATCTAAATAGTAGTAGGAATGTCCTCTGAATATACAGAGTGCATATTATGTAACTACAAAACCATTACTGAAATAGAGAACAATATGAGCAACTCTTTACTAAAGGCTTAAGATCTAGATTCTCATATAATTATTACCCTTATTTCATCTAGTATGGCATCTTCAATCACTGTTGTTAGTGCATTGATCTTTTGTTCACCTATAGAAACTACACCTCAGACATTTCTTATAGACAAATCATAATATTTGCTTATTTGAGTACATTCTGTCTATCTAACTAATATGCATCTCTTAATAGTAAACTAATCACATCTTATCAAAAGTGTGATATTGCTTAGATATAGGATATATAGACTAGAAGTAATTTCTTGGATTTAGAACAATAGATATATTATCATCAACTCTTCTAAGAACATTTACTGTATTAAGCATATTCTTATGTGACTTGTATATTTGATGTTTTAAACTAGCACAGTTTGATGCTTTCTAAAATTGATGACATATATGATTGCTTGGTGCATATCTATTAATTACAGATGGGATTCTAACAACTTGATGAATTTATTATGATTTTTTAAAATGGCATAATTTGATTCTTTTTAAAATTGATGATATATATGATTGCTTGGTATTAGAAAAATAGTTATAAATAGGATGATAACGACTTGATGACTAGAACATGATGTTTTAAAATGGCAGCATTTGGAGGTTATTCACAATCACTAGGAGGTCATTCACAATCACTAAACTAAGTAAAAAATAATTAGAAGTTGTAAAACTTTTTGTTCTTTTGTTTTTTTTGAACTTCTCCGAAACCCCCTTCGGCATCCTGAAAAATTTCAGTTGATTTCTCGGGACGCAGCCTCTATCTCAGTAGAAGCATATTAATTGTGTATCAACTGAAATTTTTCAGGATGCCGAAGGGGGTTTCGGAGAAGCGTCTATTCTTATATTTTTGTTTATTAGTTAATCTAGTTGTTAAAATCTTTTTGGCCATCACTAAACATTCTGATTTTTAAAATATTTTTCAACTGCTAGTAATTGATTTGTTATTTAATACTTGGTTATTCTGATACAAGATATTAAGTTTCTTTAAACTTTCTTATTTGTGAATGGCCTCCATTGCTGAACAAATCCTTGCTGTTCGATGCCATTACTAGTATATCTTGCATCAGATATATCAGGCATATTATCTCTATTCTTCAACTCAAGTCCCAAAAGGGAGTTAAGATGTACTCTTAAGGAGGCCATTCACAAATAAGAAAGTTTAAAGAAACTTAATATCTTGTATCAGAATAACCAAGTATTAAATAACAAATCAATTACTAGCAGTTGAAAAATATTTTAAAAATCAGAATGTTTAGTGATGGCCAAAAAGATTTTAGCAACTAGATTAACTAATAAACAAAAATATAAGAATAGATGCTTCTCCGAAACCCCCTTCGGCATCCTGAAAAATTTCAGTTGATACACAATTAATATGCTTCTACTGAGATAGAGGCTGCATCCCGAGAAATCAACTGAAATTTTTCAGGATGCCGAAGGGGGTTTCGGAGAAGTTCAAAAAAAACAAAAGAACAAAAAGTTTTACAACTTCTAATTATTTTTTACTTAGTTTAGTGATTGTGAATGACCTCCATAGTAGCAAACTTCACTGTTAACAAAGAACTAGCTATTGCAATGTTTGGGGTAGATACTATGGAGGCTATTCATAAATATAAAAGTTTTAAGAAACTAAATATCTATTATCAGAATAACCAATTAATAAATAATAAATCAATTACTAGCAGTAGATAAATATTTTAAAATACAGAATGTTTAGCAATGGCCAAAAAGATTCTAGCAACTAAATTAACAAATAAACAAAGATGCCAAATATGGTGTTTCTACGAAACCCCCTTCGGCATCCTGAAAAATTTCAGTTGATACATAATTAATATGCTTCTACTGAGATACAGGCTGTGTCCCGAGAAATCAACTGAAATTTTTCAGGATGCTGAAGGGGGTTTCGTAGAAGCACCATATTTGGCATCTGACCAAGAAAACAATAAAAATATTAATAATTATTAAATAGCAAACAACTTCTGACTGATCTCCTATACTTATAACCAAAACCTTCTCTAAATACTTTATGCAATCTAACACTAGCAGACTTCTGCTATACCTTTATATCTAACTCACTGCATTTCTCAAGAACAACCTCAACAATGAATGAGTCAATAAATATTTCAGAGGAATGCTCAAATCCAAGTTGCTCTATACCTCTAGCAGTATACCTAGCATCAGCAACATCAGGCATATTTCTTCTTTCTGATAACACTCTTGATAGTAATGCTCTTAGTTCACTTTGGAAGGGGGTCATTCCTGGACTTGTAAATTTTAGTAAATTACAATTTTGTTAGATAGATATTTGAATAATCATTTTCAGAACCATTTTTGCTACTAGATATTTTTGGAACAGATATTTATAATTGTTGTATCCAGAATGTTTTTATGTGTATAATTGATTTTTTAAAATACAAATATTTTTTTTGCCATTTCACCCAAACTGCCATTGGCAACTTGGAAAAGTTTCAGTGAACATAATTTCAACTAGAAAGAAAATACTTTGCATATTTAGGGTTAATTATCATTGGCAATAAAGGTCAATATCTCAATAGATGTGGCTAAGCAACCACAAGGAAATTATGTTCACTGAAACTTTTCCAAGATACTGATGGCGGTTTGGGTGAAATTTTTATTTCACTAATATTGCCAATAGTTTCAACATATATAAATAGTTGTTGTGCAGATAACTAGCTCTGAATGACCTCCATAGTCAACACCCCTATCCCTCCCTATCTAAGAATAGGGGTTGCTATATTTCTCTCTAAGCTATTGATTTGTATGGAGTATTAGTACCAACCATACTTGTGGTAAACCCTGGAATTCTTTATTCACACTCAGTGCATTGATAAATAGTTCTTGGTACCCCCTAGTAGTAGGAATCATACTATATAGTATAACCTACTGCATCTTTAGAATATATTAATAATAATTTACTCATGCTATTTAATGCACCAAAAAATGGCCAGTAGTGTATTGTCATAGTATCCAGAATGGGTTATCTCAAAGCTGGGAGTCATTCAAGTTTATATTAAATAAGTGAGCACTCCATAGGCAGTGATAAGAAGTTACAAACATCAGATTAGCCGATTTGTAAACAATGCCAACTATAAAAGCTACCAAATTCCCTCAAAGCAACATACGGACAATCTTGCTAAACAAGTACTTGCAGCGCTTTACTAAATAAGAGACAAATGTGGACTGCCACCGGATTCAGTAGCGATTGCAAAAAACAAAAAATTCCGCAACGGGGAATCGAACCCCGGCCACGACGGTGAGAGCGTCGGATCCTAGCCACTGGACCATTGCGGATTTGAAGCGCATCGGAGATAATGTTATGATGGTGGCAGAGGAAGCAACAGAGTGGAACTCAGGGCTGGACAAACTGCTCGCGGACGTGTCCGAGTCAGGTGATATAGCAGGAGGACAGAGTCGGGGAATCTTGTTGGGTTCGGGTCGAAGTTCAAATATATAATATTCAAACTCAACGGGGCAAAACAGGTTGAAACAGAATAAATGAGTAGGGAACTCTAGTAGACACTGGATGATGAATTGTCTTGGAGTCTTGTCAAATCGAAGCATATATATGCTTCGATGCACTCGTGTCTTGCTAGTGACGTTGCATTGCATGAATGACAGGAATACCAGTCACTGGTCTTTGCGGCATAAGGGTACTGCATTGTTGTACCACATGCGGACTTAGATCCATGGGAGCTGGGTCAGGGAATATCAAGGGAGTTGGAGCCGAGTCATCATGCTCATCAGATTCGAGCATAACAATAATCATTGTTCAAGCTGATATGTTATTACTCAGGTATAGTGATATTATACTGGGGGTCATTCTTAGACTTATAAATTTTAGTATATTATAATTTTGTTAGTTAGATATTTGAATAATCATTTTCAGAGCAGATTTTTACTACTAGTTATTTTTATTATAGTTAATATTACTTGTTGTGTCCAGAATGTTTTTTTGTGTATAATTGATTTTAAAAATACAAATATTTTTTTTGCCATTTCACCCAAACTGCCATTGGCACCTTGGAAAAGTTTCAGTGAACATAATTTCCTTGTGGTTGCTTAGCCACATCTATTGAGATATTGACCTTTATTGCCAATGATAATTAACCCTAAATATGCAAAAATTTTTCTTTCTGGTTGAAAATATGTTAACTGAAACTTTTCTAAGATACTGATAGCAGTTTGGGTGAAATTTTTATTTCACTGAAATTGCCAATAGTTTCAATATGTATAAATAATTGTTGTGCAGATAACTAGCTCTGAATGACCTCCAAAGTACTCTATTCTGCCAAAAATAAGATAAAAACCAGAATCTAATAATAGTAGAAAAAGTAGATTCTGAGTTTTGAGTAGTGTATCTCTATACAGCTATGGCTATTGCTTCCCTAGTAGAGGGGGATGTGACACACTGACCAGTATGCATATGATGGTATAAAACGTACTATGATTACATACCTATGATAAGCAGTAGGAGAGTGCAAAGATTCTGTCCAAAGAACTCATTATCACATAATTGGCAAATTAGGCTACTAGTTGGCTAGATATGAATGCTGTTTCTATTGGACAATGATCAGTGGCATCCCCTAGATATGATGCGCCACTCGCTTATAGGGCTTCATTATGAGTATGATCAGATAAAGGCCAGAAATCATCGTTTTTGGCACCAATGTTTTGTTGGTCTAGGAAATTGTACATAGGCAAGTAAACGAAACTGTTAGTTCATGGCTAGCGAACTCGATGCCTGTGCGTATCGCTGCAGTCAAAAAAACCTATGGTGGCTTTGCTAGTTAGTGAGAAAAAAATCGACGAATTTTGTGAGCAATATTGAGTCAAAAAATTTTATTTTTAAAAAGTCAATTTCTCGCTTATTTCAAGAGCGATAAGCACACAGCTAAATGAAATAGATTAGTGCATGACATACACCATGATTTAATTTTATCATATTCAATGAACATCGTTTTGAGAAATTATTTAGGATTTTCGATGATTTTGATTTTTGTGACTCAATTTTGCCACTCAGTGTATTTGAGATATTGAAAACCATTATTATTGATTTTAGCTAAGAGGAAACTGTCTGATAACTAAGCTCAAGTAGTTGTCATCACTATTATAGAGGATTGGAAACAGTTCAAACAGAGAGGCAGAGCTCGGTCTGCCCTCCAGTGCCGGACCAGTTAAAGTGGTTGGCTCTGTCTGCATATCCAGGGGTGCCCTTGGCCAAATATTGATTAACCAGATGTTGCCAGCTGCGTATCAAGCCCCAAAGGCCTTTTCGCCTAGCGCTATCTGGGTCGTTATCCATCAATTGTTGGCTCTCAAGTCGAGCTGACAGTATACGCAGCAGCGCTTCTGTCACCGTAATGCGTTCATTCTGGACATTTTGAATGAGCCGTCGAGGTTCAGCTGCGGTTTTGTAGCTTGATGCAATATGCTCGGGTATGTGGCTAGGAGCTTGCTGAGAGAGAGTCTGCAGCAATGGCTGTGATTGCTGCGCAAAGGAAAGCGTACCTAAAGGCGCAGAAGTAGTTGCACCCTTGGTTGTAGGGACTACTACTGGCTGCACCAACAGCATACACGTTTGCATGGGGATAAGGGAGCCATGGCCTATAGAACTTGATGATGGCGTGTTTTGTTGCTTATCTGGTGATGCAACGGTCGGCAACGGCAACGAATGGAGTGCAGGCAGGGTGGCAGCGTGCAAACTGTCAACTGCATTTGCAAGTACCATAGCTTGCTGCACTTGTGACTGTGTTGGTTGGAGAGGGGGAGGTAGCTGTCCAAGCCGTTGCTTCTCGTGGATGAACAGGGCTTCCAAATGTGCCATATCCTCTTGTGACAGATTTTCGTCCTCATTCGCTAAAAGTGTCGCATCTGGTGTCACGCTTGAGATGTTGTCCTGGTACGACGCCATGACGCTGGCAAACACAACATCATCCGAATAGTCCTTCAGAAGCTCATCCCTGGCCTTGCCTGTGATCTTGGGTGGGTCCGATGGTGGTAGTTCGAAGTACTTCTTCATGTCTTCCTTGTTAACACGCCGACCCATCGTCTGCTTATCAACCACCCGCCGAGTCATGCTGACCTTGAACACGTTGTTTGCAAACAGTCGTTCCTCCCAAGTGCCTGTGGTCATCAAGCGGTAGACATAGACCCGCCGCCGCTGCCCATATCGATATGCGCGTGCAACCGCCTGCTCGTCGTAGAGTGGGTTCCAGCCAACATCAAAGATGACGACTCGGCTGGCAGAAACAAGGTTGATCCCCAGCGATCCGGTCATGGAGGAGATCAGGAACATGTTGTGCGGCGATTTGGGTACATTGAACTGGTCAATGAGCATCTGCCGATCAACAACCGGCGTGCTGCCATCAATTCGCACCATCCCAGACTGCATAAATGGTGTCGTTGGCCCGACTGCCACTCTCAGGTCCTTGACCACGCGCTGTATATAGTCCATTGTCTGAATGCTGCGCGAAAATACCAGCACGCGCTCGCCTAAAGCGACACTCTTGCTTATAATCTCCAGCAAAATGAGCATCTTCAGACTCAGAGGTTGGCGATTGCAGCTCCTCGACCGATATCCTCTGGTGCGCTCCCTGCAGCTCGACCATTTGTGAATGCCTCTCAAAGATATCACGAGTCCACCGTTCATCGGCTGTGGACTTGAGCGTTTCTACATCAACCACTTCGCTGTCATCGCCCTCTGCAAACTCCATGAGCGTGATCTGCTTTATGCGTTTCGCATCTTTCCTTGAAAGCAGCTTGCGGTGGTAAGCCAACTTTGCTTTGCAAACTGCTGGGTGGTTGCAGATCGTCGTCAGGGTAGAGCCATGGAGGAGGAGGTCCTTGTTCAGATTGCGGTCGTCGGCAGTAGCCATGTTGCAGAAATGCTCTATGTAGCTGACATAGAGCTCGCGTTGAACATCAGCCAGTGGGCATGAGATGATGTACTCGACCTTGCGCGGCAGGACATGGTAGAGTAGACTAGAGTCGCGTCGGTCAACCTACCGGGACAAGTAATCTCTGCAATACTTTCATCCGGAGCGTGCTGAGCCGCTTGGCCGAAGCATCCGAGTCCGAGTAAAGCCCGCTCTTGATCGGATTGATGTAGCTATTGCGAAAGTCGCTCAGGTTGCTGAGGAAGTTGGGGTAGCAAAAATCGACCATGGTCCAATATTCCTCGAGATTATTCTGCAGCGGATAGCCTGTTAGACAGACGCGCGACTTTGACCGAAGAAGATTGGCCATAGTAGAAATCCGTGTGGATGGATTTTTGATATTGTGTCCCTCATCTGCAATAATCAGGCTCGGACCATGGTCCAGCATCCACAGTCGGATATCCGGCACAAAATCTTCCCAGCCGCTGTTGATGTTGCCATGCTCGCCCGATGCGATCTGCATAACGTCGCGGAATGACGAGTAGCCCATGACCATGACGCCGCCTCGCTCGTGCCACGACCTCAGGGCTTTGATTCGACTGCTGATGAGCTTCTGTAGTCCAAAGTTGATCACCTGAGTTATGACAGTTTTAGCACGCTCGCGTACCTTGGCCAGGAGCTTAAGATGCTTGAGCCTGGCGTCGCCGGCCAGGATCCCATCTGGCGGTAGCTCAAATGGTGCTGGCAGAATCGGTGTATCGACCCTTTCGACAATGGGCGAGGAATACTCAGCGACTCCGGTCCATTTCAGAAATTCGAGAGTCCAATTAGCCTGCACTGTCGGTGGGCACAAGATCAGAACCCGGCGTGCCGCAAAGGTCGAGCCCGCAAAGTCTTTGCACTGTCGGTCAATTGCATCGAGCATAGTGTAAACGAATGAAATCGTCTGCAGGGTCTTTCCTAGACCCATCGAATGCGCCAGCACGCAGCCATGCTGCACACACGATAGGCGGCGGGGATCAGACTGTTGATTCAGCTTTTTCCTCCGAATGTTCGCTGAGCATGACCGTCTGCTTCCACATGAATCGCACACCCTCGATCTGATGGCTCTTAAGGTGGCTAGCCAAAAATCCAGGAATCATAACGTCGCTCTCATTCTCATCATGGCCAGGGTTAATCAGGATGGGTTTGCCAATGGAGTCGACATCTATCGACGATGGATCCGACGTCAGCAGGGAGTACGCCTCTGAAGGCGATCTGGTGTCTCCGCTCCCAGTGCTTGATAATAGTCTGGAATTGGCGAATCTGTTCTCCCTGTTTACTTTCGCAATGCGCCTGCGGATTGCCTGCTCTTTAAGCATCTGGTTGTTCCGAAGCTCGAGCACCTCGGGGTTCTCGTCACGAATCGGCTTGATGCTACGACTGGTGCGGGGTTTGGTTGCTGTGGCAGGTAGTTGGCCACGATGGCGATGTCGCTTTCGCTAGCTGACACCTCGATGGTGCTAGACGCATCGATTGCGTCTTGGTTCTTCGCGGCATCATTGGCCGCCGCTTTGCGCCTTGCAGCAGAATTGGTAGACTCACCATCACCATCACCATCGCCATCGCCATCGCCATCGCTGCTGCTAACCTCTACTACCAGGGGCTGCCAGGGATCGAGTCTTCACCGATAGCCGTTCGCTGGTCCTTTGTCACATAGCGGCCCCAGTTTTGCAACAATCTATCCAGCCAGCTGTAGAACATACCGAATGCCGCGCGTCTGGCTACCCCGCCATCACGCATAGCAAGCACAGCTCCGGGGGTAGTACGGCAGGAGACCACCAGCTCCAACGGATTGTCAGTGGACGAAATCGCATCTGGGATTGGTGCTGTCTGTGGTATTTGGCTGACGCATGGTCCCCGTGCCAGTGATCTCAACATCACCGGCAAGGCCCTTGCAGACCTTTGAGCAGTCGTGGTCTCTCGGAATCTGCTGCTCGATGATTGCTGATAGCTGAGCCTTGGCGCTCTGACAGGCAGCTGCATCCGGGTATGCAACCACAATTTCCGGCTGCTGCCTGTTCAGCCAGGACAGGAACTCAGCCCAGAGACGCAGGGCCATCCGCATGTCAGCCATGCCGCTTGCAGACCCTGATTCACTGATTGACACCGGAGACTGGCTCACCCATCGCCATCTGCCTTATGTAGTATGATATGGCGTCATAGGTGTCTGTTGCCAGATGCGAGCGCACGAAGCTGTGTAGTTCCACGTGGCTGATCTCTGGCTGCGTCTCCTCTTCGGTGTAAGTCGGCTGCTTTGCCTGCTTGATTTTGGCTAGGATTTCGGCTGCTGACAAGCTTCGAGCGCTTTGGGCCACCTGTCCATTAGCCATCGCAACTCGGTTTGTCTGTGCAAAGCGGCTGACAGCTCTGACTGATATCCGCATCCCGCTGCGCTGTGCGAACATGCCTTTGCCACCGATTCGGTCCTCTCTGCCACGTGTGGGTGGATGGCGCGAGCTGCGGATCATCCGCCTGTGGTGCATTGCCATCATGCTCCGTGGTCATATCACAGTCCATCCTGTCCGCTGAGTCGTCAATAAAGTCGTTCATGTCATCGCTAGTAGTACCCGCATCCACATCTGCATCCGCATCCACATCTGCATCTGCATCCGCACCCGCACCGCACCCGCGGCAGATATCTGTGCGCTTTTGGCGAGTCGTCTCCGCTTTGCTTTTGCCAGGCGGGCTTCAGTCGATGGACGCCGAGTTGGCTTCAGCCTCCGGGGAGCGTTGGGAAGCGATGTTAGGACGAGCAGCCATTCCTTCTCCTTAATCGAGTAGACGGTTGGCCGCATGCCCTCGCACAGCTTCAGTAGCGCCTTTTCGCCAGTCGTGCCGCTATCAATGTATGTTTTGCGCAGTTTGGGGAGACGCCGGGAGCGCAAGTCTTCCAGGTCTTTTTCCAACTTGTCGCGCAGGTTAATGTATTGGCCCCACAGCCTATGCCCCTGGATCGAGAGAGAGTGGATTTCTTTGCAATCCCAGTCGTGCATGAATGACCCGATCGCACGGTCAATGAGCTTGCTCACTCGCGCGGCTTGGCATTTCCTGGTTTCATTCAACCTTGCCAACTGCGCCTGCTCCTCCCGCACCTCGTGTTCAATCTGCCGGGCTTGCATGTCTGATTCTTCGGCTTCTGAACCAGACTCACCGTATACAGGGAGAATAGGATCAGCCTCACCATCTGTCGCCGCCAGCCCATCGCTGCCTGCACTGCTGTATATATTACCCATGCGTGCCTCCATATACCGCCAATGCCATTGCTGGACTTGCTCCATCGACGTCCGCAGCTGCAGGCGCTTAGAAAGGGCCCATTTCCTCAGGGTCTCTGCCGAAAAGCGTCGAAACCAGAATGCATCCAGATCCTTGTCGGCGTAAAGCGAGCTGAACTTGCCTGGCGCAGCTTCAACGTTGGGCGGAAAACGAGGCTGTCGCGAACGGGTAAATAGCCTGGCAGCCGGGGTGTTTACAAAGGCCGACTCGAGTGCAGCACAGACCTTCTCACGGGGCAGATGTGGGCACGCACGCCCCTGGTCAGATATGAGCGGGTCAGAGTCGACCAGGTTGCCAGTTGCCAACTGTGGCACATCCTTGGTGACAAGGGTAGGCAATATGCGTTTCTTTGCCTTTGGCGCCACTGCTGCTGGTACGTCAGGCGTACCTGGCTGTGCTGGCGACTTTGGCAGTTCGGAACCATCTCCGCTACCTGCTGCCTGCATCTTCTCATCACTATCCGACGACAAAGAAATGTCTATATCCACTTCAGATGTGGTGTCAATGTTCACTTCGGGTGTGGTGTCCACTGCTAGTGCTGGTGAAGCAATAGATCGAGGTGGGGTCCCAGGTTCAGATTCGGTGTCAGAGCCAGAGCTATCATCGTAGAGTTGCAGATACAGCGCCTTTCCAATGTTCAGCGACTGAGCAGGCATAGGTGTCCACCTTGCCTCAGTATCCATTGCTAGCTCAGAAGCGTGGGTCTCCGAGTCAGATACTGCAGGCTGCTCAAGGCCCTGGTTAGTAACCCCGCTGACCACGGTTGGTGTTGGATTATCTGCATTCGTGTGGATAATAGGCGAAGAGCTTTCCAATAGCGGCTCAGTAGGCTCCGGGCTGGCTGGGTCAGAAGTAGTGTCCACCCCAGCGTCTGTAGTCGGTGGCAGCTCATGCCCAGCTGGCGAAGGCTGGTCCGGTCTACCAGTGTCATCGACAGCAAGAACTGGCTCAGAGTCGCCTACACTCAGAGAAGAGCTTGGCTGCTGTTCGGGCTCCGCGGCCACTGGCATAGGCATCCCTGCTGGACTATCATGCACTAGTGTATGTGACGCATGGTGTTGGCTGACAACATCCGAACGTACGTCAACGCCGCTACTAGACTGTTCTCGATCAGGAGACTCTGCCAAGAGCTGCGCTTGCTCAGCACGATCCAAAGCTATTGCAGCTGAGGATGGATGGTTAGAGTTAGATGCAGCCTGTCCTCCACCGGCCATGCATTCACTGGGCGTGCTCTGGGTTGGATTACCAGAGCATGGCAGAGGTTGCTTTTGTGTTGATACACCTGCGCCAGACTCACTCAGGCTGTGGTGTACAGAATCCGATTGAGGTGGATCCAGCCGACCTGCCACTGTCTGTCCTCCTGACTCAACGGAGGCGTTCTCGTCGATCTCCATAAGCTCAACATCCGATTTTTCGCTCTCATCATCAGAGATCACCACCACTTCCATCTCCACGGGCTCTGTAGACTCGATAACTCCAGATCCGGTAGCACCGGTATCGGCAGGCTCAGCAGAGCGCTCATTTGTTATCTCCACATGGGCAGATATTTCTACCAGCGTCTCAGTAGGCCCGGCTAGATCCATGGGTAGCGCATGTTCCCTCTGGCTGAAGTTAATCTGGCTGCCTTCAACAAATCCATCTGGAGACGCGCTACGGGATGCTTGTGCATCTGGTGTTGACTCAGAGCTGCTTCTGTCCGGGCCCTCGTGCATGTCTTCGAGTGCGCCCGTGGTCTCAGGCCACTGTAAATATCCAGTACCGAATCGGCTGTACGAAAGCAGGGTGCTTCTCTTTGGCCGCACGCGGGATCCCAGCGGGCGCATTTGCATGGTGTTGATTGTGCGGTGGCTGCGGGCCATCCATAGTCCCTGCTCAAGGATCTCTCGCTGAATGGATACCAGGTCCGAACCTATGCCTGGTTTTCTGACGCAGTTGATAATCTGTTGCGCCAAATCCTCGGTGAAGTCGGCTCCTTCTTGTAAAGCGTCCAGCGAGGGGCGCTCCAACCGCGGCCAACTGCCAGCACCATTCTCCGCCAGTGACTCGGCTACACAATTAAGGGTCGTAATTAGCCTCCGTACTAATTGTCCGCAGAAACTCGTTTGCATTCGCGCATTTGACCGCTAGGGCACTGTTCCAGGTCGAGTATAGAGGGCTTACCTTCTGACATGCCTGCAATGTGGTTGCTAGCTTCACGAGAGCGTAGCCAGCGTGTAACGTCGGCTACTGACCAGTGCTGTGGGTCCATGTTGGCCAAGGCGTCGGCCATTTCTGTTCTGGTATGCGCGAGCTGCTTCAGAGCAATATAAAGCCAATGGGGGGGGGGGAACGAAGAAAAAAGCACGATTCTCGGTGGTAGGTCAAAATGCAGGTTGAAGAAAGGAAAAAATATTTTTTAGTGCCATGCGACCTTTGCTGGCTGCAGAGTGGGCTACGCCACATGTACATCCATTTTAGGCTCTGGGTTTTTTAGGCGGGAGTCAGTATGATTCAAAGTACGCGACTTCTGTCCTGCACATACCGGGCAATCCGCGCAAATAACGGCATGGCGCTTTATTAAGAGCTGTTCTTGAAGATTGGACTCACCGACACTCCCACAGCGAAACCTCCGTGTTTACCGACCCTGTCGCTACCAAGGGACTGACTACGCTGAAATCGACGCAGGTGACAAAGTGCGATGCGCTCTCGATCGTCTTTGCGCAGCGACCCGTGGCCAAATCCCAGATGCGCATTGTTTTATCGTCGGATACGGAGATCATGACCTTGCCCGATGGGTGGAAGACAAAGTCGCGCACCCAGTCGTCGTGGCCAACAAACGTATGCAGCAGCTGCCCAGAGGTTGAGTCCCACAGCCGAAGAGTCTTGTCACGCGCTGCGCTCATAACAAACAGACCGGGGGCGTTGGCTGGGTTTGGCGGAACGCCATTTGCGGTCCCACTCGTGCCATTTACGGCTGCTGCTGCGGGTGCATGCGTGGCTTTGACTGGCGGCAGCCCAGCCAGCTTCCGCAGGCAGACGTAGGCGCTGACAGGCGCAAACCGCGCAATCTCCACCACATTCTCGTGGCCACGCATGTCCATCTTGCACTCGCCCGAGCCGGCGTCCCATACGCGTACGCTCTGGTCGTTGGACGCGGTACACAGCAGCTTCGCGTCTTCGCTGGCAGCGACGTACCGCACCCACTCGGCGTGGCCGGTCAGCGTCTTGATGCAGTAGCCTGTGGACAGCTCCCAGATCTTAACCGTCTTGTCGCGCGACGCAGAGACTATCTTATCAGCGCCCAGGAAGCACACGGCCGACACGCAGTGGTCATGGCCATGCAGTGTGCGCACGCACTTGTAGTCGTCGGCGATGTCCCACACGCGCAGCGTCAGGTCGGCCGAGCACGTGACCAGCACTGCGCCCTTTGCATCGAAGGCCAGATCCTGGACGGCTTTGGTGTGGCCCTTGAGGGTCCGCTCAAAATCGCCCGACTCGGCGTCCCACAGCTTCACGGTCATGTCCTCCGAGGCCGTGGCCAGCACCGGATACTGCGGGTGGAAGCGCACACGTGTGACTGGCGCTCGATGCTGCGTCAGCTGTGTGCGGGCCGGCGGTCGTGGCAGCCACTCGTTTGTTTTGGCTGGCCGCCGGATGGCGCCAGAGCGGATCTCCTCCTGTAGCTTCGACATTTTCGACTCCAGCTCCATGATCTTCTTTTGCAGTCGGATCACCGACGTCCACTTTTTCGGCAGCAGGTTGTGGTGTCTGTCCTTGGGGTCTGCCACGAAGCCCTCGTTGCCCGTTTCCTTAGCAAACACGGCCAGGCTCTCCGTGTAGCCCTGCGTATGCATGAAATCGAGAATGGCCTTTTGTCTATATATGCGCGGTGGGGGGCAGCAGCGGGGGATTAGCGGGCAGTCAATGGTGACGGCTGTTCTCCATACGCACCCCTCTGGGCTCACGATACTTACAACTCCTTCTTTTGCCTCTCTGGCAGGACATGCTCAGTGGTGGAAGCCATTGGCGGAGCAGTGTGTTGAATTAGGGGTAGTGTAGAAACCGGTGAATGCGTGCGTGGATGTGAAATGAAATGGCTGGAAAACACAGGCAGCCTGAATGAAGCAGAAAAAGAGGGCACCAGCGGGATTACTAGCCAGGCAAGGCGAAATGCGAGAAGTAAAAGAAACACTAAGAGTTGAAGCTGTGCAGGCGAGAAGTGGAAGACTACCAGCGATAGACTCGCGCCTAGGCGAACTTTTTTCTACGAGCTTGAAGCTCCAGCCAGAGTGCCCGCTGATCGGCTAGGGCTGATCGCGTAATCACTGCATTGAATAGCAACACGTACTTTTTTTTTGCAAAGGTGAAGCGCAAAGCCTGGCTTGTGTTTTCGTGTTTCCTCGCCTCTGCTGAATCGCTGCACACACCTCGACACACTAGCTGATTTATATATTCTGACAATGTCCTTTGGGTCCTTTGGATCGTCTGCAACAGGCGCTCCGACTTTTGGAGCATCGCCGTTTGGAAATGCGGCCAGTAACAATAGCACCAGCACGACAGCGGGCACTGGCGGTGGCGGGCTCTTTGGCTCTGCCCCAGCAGCAGCCAGCAGCACTTCAGGTGTCAGCTTGTTTGGCTCAAACAGCCCTGCAAACCCCACGGCTACAGGCGGTCTGTTTGGCACCACTACTACGCCTGCTGCTACAACCACAAGCGGCGGCGGTTTGTTTGGCGGGAGCAGCACAGCGGCGGCGGTGACTGGGGGCAGCGGCCTGTTTGGTTCTAGCACTACTGCAACATCGACACCAGCAGGTGGCCTGTTTGGCTCTAGCACAGCACCTGCTGCCTCAGCTGCTGGCACTGGCCTGTTTGGATCTAGTACCACTGCAACATCGACACCAGCAGGTGGTCTGTTTGGGTCTAGCGCAGCACCTGCTACCTCGGCTGCTGGTACAGGTCTGTTTGGTTCTAGTGCCACTGCTACATCGACTCCTGGTACAGGCTTGTTTGGGTCTAGCGCAGCACCTGCTACCTCAACTGCTGGAGGTGGGTTATTCGGGTCAAGCAAAGCGGCGACGTCCACTGGTGGAGGAGGGCTGTTTGGATCAACCAGCACTGCGCCTGTATCAACTAGCACTACGGGCGGCGGGCTATTTGGATCTTCATCGACAGCAGCAACAGCCACGGCAGGTTTAGGCGGAGGACTTTTTGGTAGCAAGACGCCAGCGGCAGCCCCGGCGTTTGGGTCGAGTGCTGCCGCTGCTATTGGGGCTGGGGCTGCTGTGGCTGCCACTGCCACTGCACCTGCACCTGCACCTGCAGCCATTACGAAAAAGACAAAGTTTGTTGACTTGCCCAAGGATATGCAAAAGCTGCTGGAGGAGATCGAGCAGCACAAGCAGGTGCAGGTTCAGATTGGCGAGGGCATTGTAGTTAGCGACACTGAGGAGGGGCTTAAAGATATATCGCGCACGGTGCAACGCCTGATGCAGGAGCTGTCTGTGGTGAAAATGACGCTGAAGGGCGACCGTGAGCGCGTCGACGAGGCCAAGACACGGGTGAACTTTGATGTCAAGCATGCCGAGAAGGCAGCGAATCTAGTCGCCCATGCCACCGACGACGGGTCGTGGTCGCAGGGCGGCCTGACGCCGATGCAGATGGCGTCTCGCCAGCGGGCGATGCTGGCCATGCGCAGCAAGCCTGGCCAAGTCCCGTCGGTGCTGAGTCTGCTGCAGCAGGGGCTGGACAAGGACAGCGCTGCTGCCATGGCCACAGCCGCTGCCATTGCCGCTGGCAAGCCTGGCGCAGGCACGACGACCTCGCCGGAGGAGGCAGTCCGGCGTATCCGCATCTCGGGAGTGCACTCGCAGATTGCCAGCGACTACTTCTGGGCGTGGCTGTCGCGCGTCGAGGCATCGGCCGAGGTGCTGACCGAGCGTCTTGGCCAACTTGAGCACCACGTGTCGGCATCGCTGGCGTCCAGCGCGTCGCTGCAAGGCTCGGCTGATGCCCAGGCAGGATCGCAGCAGCAGCGGCCAACACCGAAGGCAGTATCTGACGTCATCCAGTACCAGAACGACTCGTTTATGGCCATTGCTGGCAAGCTGGCGGCTGTCGACGAAGATGTGCGCCGGCTGAAGCGCAAGCTCGGCATCAAGGAGTCAGAGTGACTTGCGGCTTTTCGATTTCTCGCACCAGCCAATTTTTTTGGAGCCCCATGTGACTGCTAGACTAAATGTGACCTCTACCTCGCATCTCTGCACATACACTTGCCACGACGGTGTCCGGAGGCGCTCTGACGTCAAGGAAAGGAGGGGGCGCGATTTGCTTTCCCTGTCCCCCATCAGCCCCGCCCCACTGGCCCGCAGCCGGCTACAGTGAAACACCTACCCGGCATCTGACTCGCAGATGGTGCTGCCCCCTGGTCACTCGTCCACATTATTTTCGTATTCCAAAAGATATTTTTCCTCAGCACATCTCGGCCACTGGCGCACTGGGCGTGCCACAGCAATATTGCGCGACTGGTCAGTTAAACGCGGGAATCGCAGTGGCCTACCCGTCCCCGGCTGCCATTGACGGCCGCCGCCGCATTGTTTTATACCCACTTTGCTTCTCCAGCCTTCCGCCTCACTGTCTTACTCGGAAGCCTATCAATGTTAGCCTGTGCTGCCGCTGTCCACTTTCCATATATGTAGGCCTAGGCGCCCTGCCCCACCGCTTCCCAACAACACGCCCCTTTCCTCTCTCCTGGCACTCGCAATCCCTTTTGTTTCTCCTTGTCGTTCATTATCCTCCGATACCTGCGGTACTCCTAGCGGCACACGGTTTCCCTCTTTTTTTTTCTTTCATTCGCGGAATGACTGGCAGCTCACAGGCGCACGAAAGCACGCCGCTGCTTACCCAGCATAGCCCTCCAGCGCGCAGCAGAAAAAAGCAGCTGCCTTCGTCTACCAACCATGGCGTCTGGATGGTGCTTGCCATCACGGCTCTGGCAGCGCTGGCAATTGTTGCGCTCGGGTTCATAGCGCTGTTTGATAGCACCAGCGATCGCCCGCCGAACACGGAAACACAGCTCAACAGCTCGAGCGTCGGCCGGTTTTTGCACATCACAGATCTACACGTCGACCCCTACTACCGGCCTGGATCCACCACATACTCGAGCTGCCACCGCAAGCCGCCATCGAGCAGCAAGAGCTCCCCCCGCCACAGCCTACGCGTGATGGACGACGGCATTGCCGACTCCAGCAGCAAGCAATGGAAGCGATTCGACCGCGACGGCCACGGCCACACGGGGCCCTTTGGAATCCCAGAGGCAAAGTGCGATTCGCCTGTGGCGCTGGTCAATGCAACCGCCGAGTACCTGCGCGCAAACTGGGCCAGCAGGCTCGACTTTGTAATCTGGACCGGCGACAGTGGCCGCCACGACAGCGACGCCGAGATCCCTCGCACCTTTGAGGAGATCGTGGAGCAGAACTACATTACCGCTGACGCCATGCGCTACGCCTTCCCGGCCATCCCCGTGGTCCCCAACATCGGCAACAACGACATCAGCCCGCACAACGAGCTGCCGAGCCCAGGCCACAAGCGCGCTCGCCTGACGTACCGTCAGCTGAGCAAGGCATGGCACGGCTTTATCCCCGACGACCAGATGCGCACCTTCCGCTACGGCGGCTACTTTGCCAAGGACGTCGTCGACTATGGCGACTCGGTGCCCGACGACCAGGTTGGGGAAAATCCTCCAGCTGCCGAGACCAGCGCTGCTGCTGGCATTGCCGGCATGAAAAAGCCCAAGAAAGCCCCCAAGAAACAGAAGCCAGTGCGCAAGCCCCGCGGCATCACCGTGCTGAGCCTCAATACCATCTACTGGTACCGCGCCAATGCCAAGGTCGGCGGCTGCGCTGCCGACGACTCACCAGGCCTGGCCCAACTTGCGTGGATCCGCTACCAGCTCCGCCGGGCTCGCCAGCGCAACCGCGACCTGATTCTGATGGGCCATGTAATACCCAACCGCGACAACTACCGCCCCACGTGCTACCATGGCTACGCCCGCACCGTCACACAGGTCGTTCCGCCTCCAGCGCTCGGTGCAACCAACAATCTCAACCGCAAGCCCAGTGAGAGCAGCGACGACGAATACGACCTGCCTATTGTGCATGCCCAGCTCTATGGCCATAGCAACGTCGACGTCTGGTCGTTCGTCGGCCAGGAAGTCGAGTGGATCACCTCGAACACACCGATGGAGTTTGTCAACTCCACTGTGCAGCCTGCCGCTGCTGTCAAGGACCAGCGGCTATGGTGGGAGAGGGAGATCGACGAGGAATCAGGGTACTTTGGCAAGCTTATCCGTGATGTGTGGTCAACCGATGGCGCCAAGTCTACCTCGGCCCAGACCACGGCCGATCAGCAAGCCGATGCTGCCATTGCACCATACACAGAGGGCGAGCGCGACTGGGCTGATATGGAGGACGACCCCGAGGTGTCGTTCGTCGAAAATGAGCACGGCCAGCTCTGGCCCACCACCGATCTGACCATGCGCATGGCTCTGCCTGGCGATTTTGTCGACACCCTGTTCAAGGAATTCGAGCGTGTGCTCGTGCTGCCACGTATCCCGCGCCTGAGCATCACGACCATCTCTCCCAGCATCATCCCCAAGTACTTCCCCGCCTTCCGCGTCTTTTACTACGCCCGCACTCCCAGCAATGGCCAGTGGCAGAAGCTTTCGTTAGGCACTCTGTTGGACTACGACGTATACTGGGCCAACCTGAACAAGCTGAACAAGGCTGCCAACATCGAAAGATTCTTCGCGCCGCTCTACCGCTTCTCTTCAGTCTACAGGCTCAATGATCTCTCTGTTGACTCGTACATTGAGTGGGCACGCAAGCTGGTGGGCTCAAAGTCGCTGCGGAAACGCTTCCGGTCGCTGACATATCTCAACACGTAGTCTCCCTTTCATAGAGCCCTTATTTTCTGGTTGGCGCTTTGTATTATTGCTTTCTTAGCCTACTCTTTATTTTTATAGAAGCCGCTTTTACTATTGCATTGAGAAGCAGCGTGCGCTCCTCAGCACGCTAACTGCGCCCATCACGACTTGTTTGGCCGATCCACTGGCAGGTGATTGCTGGTTCTAGATCGTACACCGCCGGAGCTGCCTGTAGATTGCCCGCCAGGGCGAGAGCAGCTTGGACCGGCGGTGCTCTGCTGCATTATTAGCGAAAAAGCTGTCTACAGCAGTGCTGTTGCAGCCGACTCTTTGCCGCCACCGTCTCATTCTCACCTATGTTGATAGCTGGAAATATTTGCTGATAAACCTATGTCTCTTGTAACAACTCTTTACGCTGTTTCAGCCGCAGCCACTGCGTTCGTCTTTGGAGTGATAATACACGCCTGTGCTAAACCCGATCCACATAAACCCAAAAACCACCAACCTCCTGGCCCGTTACCGATTCCTCAGAATGCAGTGTCAGGTCACCCGCAGTACACTTCTAACGCAGGGCTTAGTGGCTACTTACATGTCGAGCCTCCTGCAAACGCGGCTGTGGTGTCTATTCCTACGTCGCTCAGCTGGCAACACCAAAACAGCGCTGAGAAAAAAAACCCCCTTACTCCATACTCGCTACAGAGCAACCTTCTGATGCCCACATGCAGCATTATTGCTCCACCGCCAAGAATCTACACACCGGAATAGAGAAGAGGTACTGTGAATAGCTGTTCTCCAACCTAGGCAATGGTGCTGTTCTCGACAATCAATGAGTCCATAGGGATTTATCCATGCTGGTTTTTGAATATCTCAGCACAGGCAATCTGCACTTCTTCTGGATTCCGCAATAAATATGCTCAGCACCCATGGCCATCTGTCGTCGACTATCCACTGACACAACAGCGTAGAGTCGAGGTGGATTGGGGCCTCTAATGTCCTGAAGCCTAATTCCACAAGAGATGCATACATGCTGCCGCTGTCATGCCATTCCTGATGCTTGGCACTGGGCTTGAAGCTCAGAATCATATCACTGGCTTGTTCGCACGAATGCCTCTCTTTTCTGGAGTGAACAGGTACTAGACCAGCGCATGCAGCAGCAGCAGATATCCCCTGCCAACAGTGTCCCAAGCAGTCACAAAACAAATAGCCTGCTTGCTTGGAAACCCGCGCGCAGTCGGCTCCGCGATGAACCGCCACTCAGGAAATCAACCCACGATAAAAAGAACATTCTAATTAGTTGTGGACTGTTCTCTCTGGTTTTGCCCAACACACTTCTCATGCTGCATGACGCTGGTGCCAAGACCGCATCATCGTGGGGCAACCAGGAGCAGCTGTCTATTTAAAGGGCTCTGGTTGTCAGCGGCTTTTCTGGCCACAGGTCATCTCTGCTTCGCTGCTACACTTCTAATTTGTATCAACTATGGTAAACTACTCTACATACCTGGCAATTTTCATCGTTGTTATCGTGCTTATAATACTGTCGTCCTGGGGTCGGATGTACGTGAAAAAACGCGCAGCGCAACAGCACTTTCAACAAAACAGCACAATCCAAATCTTCCAGCCGCTGCCTCAAGAAAACATTACACTGCCCCCGCCTGTAACTGCCCACCGCCGCCGGTCAAGCGTGGACAGCCAGCTTCCCGTTTACACGCCAGCCAACTACAACAAACCGCCGTCATACGAGGCAGCTATTGCGTCGCCGCCTTCGGCCCGTGCGGCATAGACGCTCAGGCGTTTTCTGTAAATACAAACTTTGCTTAATAGATCGCAAATACCGCCGATTAGATTACACCGTGTCATGCGCTAGATGGCTATTGCATGACTTGCCCGAAACGACATTGTCGCCTGGACATCAGCGTAGCCTTCATGCATGTTTCAGGAGTAATGGGCTGGGTGAATACATAATTAGCCATACCCGGCCACAAAATACTGACCAAATGCCGCTCTAAAAACATCTGTCTTCTTCCTCCGTATCATCCCTATCGTCCATACCTAGTGGCACGGAACTGGTCCAACACAACATGATATTTATTGCGTTCCTCATCATCCCTGCTTTTATCGTCTTGTGGGGTGTACTGCGTGGGTGTATGATCCGTCGTGCGACAAAACGGCAGGCTGAGCTGCCACAAAGCCGGCCAGCACCACTTAGGCATGTACCAGTGCTCGATCCTGCATTCGCACAACCAGTTCAGTATCCGCCCCCTGTTGCCAGCCACTACTCTCGTCGCAGCATTGAGACGGATATCCTCCCTATATACAACCCGCCGTCACGGTCCCCAGTGCTTAAGGACGACCCACCTGCATACAATACGCTGATAGCCCCACCGCTGTCGATGCAGATGGCCGCATAGTTTGTGTGTAAATGTAGTAATTCGCTCTGGTCAACCAAATTCCATCACGTTTTTCGCCCATAATCAATAACGATTGCCCCATTGTATGCACCTCAACAGTCACTCTGTGGAAAATAGCAGAATCTTTACTGTTCACGCCCCGTTAATATTCAACTTTCGTCGCCAATATCAATGACGATGCGAGTGGGAACACGGGTCAAGAGAGACACTGTGAGATTATACCAGTGGTACTGAGCAATATGTGACGTTTCCGCTAAAATGGCCTTACAAACATTCTATCCCTTATACCACGTTACAGCAGTTGATGCAGCAGTATCACAGGTGGTTACTACTCGTAAGCATGCTATCAACATTAAGTGTGATATTGTGGCTGATGAGACCACTTATTCCAACGGTGTAGGCAAAGGGCAGATATAGCTCACTATGTAAAAGTATAAGAACATAATAATTTTTAGCTAAGGGTACTGGAGGCTATTCATAGTTGCTTATTTGCTCAATAATTACCTAAAAATTTTGTAACTTTTAATACTTTTACTGAAATAGTCTTTCTATCTAAGCTGCTAGTTGTATCTTAGAATAATTTTAGTAAATAGGATATTTTTATGGTTAGTTAACCATATTTACAATAGAGAGTATAGTTAGGAGGTCATTCATAGTTAGAAAAGTTTTAAGAAACCAAATATCTTATGTTGGAATAATCTACTAATAAACTATAAATAATATACTAGTAACTAATAAATATTTTAATAACTAGATTATTTAGTAACATCTAAAATGATATTAGCAACTATATTAGTAAATAAACAAAAATACCAAAATAGGCTCTTCTACAAAACCCCTATTGGAGGTTATTCACAATTACTGAACTAGGTAATAATTATTTAAATCTTCTAATACTTTTTATACTTTTATTATTTTTGCACTTCTATGAAACCCCCATCAGTATCCTGAAAAATTTCAGTTGATACACAATTAATATGCTTCTACTGAGATAGAGGTTGGGTCATAAGAAATCAACTGAAATTTTTCAGGATGCCAATGGGGGTTTCATAAAAGCTCAAAAAAAAAAAACAAAAGAACAAAAAGTTTTATAAGTTCTAAATATTTTTTACTTAGTTTAGTGATTGTGAATGACCTCCATTGGCATCTTAGAAAAGTTTTAGTAAATATTATTAACTAGAAAAAATATGACATATTTGGGGTTAATTATCTTTGGGCAATAAAAGTCAATATCTTAATAGATATGGCTATGCAACTATAAGGAAATCATAATTACTAAAACTTTTCTAAGATGCTGATAGTAGTTTGGGTAAAATAGTTATTTCACTGAAATTGCTAGTAGTAATAACATGTGTAAACAATTACTAGGCAAATAAGTAACTCTGTATAGCCTCTATAGGGGATTAACCAAAGAAAGCAGAATTGAATTGCCAATATGAGAAATTGAGCCTATTGAAATTTGAAGCCCATAGGCAACAATTGAAGAACCCCACTCCCAAGTACTAGGTTGAGATACGAATTGATTTATATATGAAAAAGTATGTGGAAGCATATATGGTATCAAGCATTCCATAGCTCATGGCTTTACCAGAACTCCGCCGTCGATGACCATTATTGCCCCAGTAACATAGGCCCCAGCCGTTGATGAAAGGTAGATAATTGCAGAGGCAGCATCTGCTTTATGTCCGAGGCGCTTAAGAGGAATGGAATTTATAGCAGCCTTCTTGCGGAGCTCATTCTGCTGGTCATATAGTATTGTGGCAAAGAGGCCAGGGGCAATAGCATTGACGTTGACATTGTAGGGTGCAAGCTTTTGCGCCAGATCGCGTGTCATATGAGCCAAACCTGCCTTGCACGATGGGTACAAAGTATTGGAAACTGATAGGGCTGTCATAGCAGCAACACTTGTCACATTAATAACTCGCGCAGGATCGTTGTCAGTAGCTGTCTTTAGCAGCAGAGGAAGGAATTTTTGGACAAGGGTAAGCGGGCGCTGCAGGGTGATGGTAATGTCGCGCACCATGTCTGACTCGGTCAGCTCAATAAATGGCTTTGATGTCACCAAGACTGCGTTGTTGATGAGGACATGGACTCCATTTGGCTCCCTGCGCGCTATTTCTCTAACGAGCGCCTCGACTTGGTCATACTCAAGAAGGTCACAGACGACATACTGGCACTTGCCAGGCCCACTAGCTGTCAGACGCTCAGACTCGCGCTTGAGGTTCTCTTCGTTACGGCTGGCAATGTAGACATTGGCGCCATTTGCAACTAGTCCGTCGGCAGCCATCAGCCCGATACCTATAGCACCACCAGTGATAACGAAGGTCTTGTTGTTAACAGAAAAGAGCGATGCGATGTCCATGATAAAGAGTATGTTTAAAACGTCAGTGTAGCGGAGATAACGAGCAGTTGCTGTGGAGGCTCTACGCTTTGTTGTGCAAAGAGAGAGGCACAGTTTGGGGCGTGCGAAGCATTACCTTGTCATTGTTCGCTCCTGAAGTGGAGATTATTCCATGTTGTTTCCTTCACACTGAGTGCAAAACCCATGCATTCCCACCAGCACCCCTAGATTACAATGCTAAAGCCATGAAGTGTTCAACAACCTCAAACTGGGACAACAGGTAATAGCGTATGCAATGTTTGTGGCCAGCAGGCTCATTTATTCATGATTTGGATACCTACAGATGCCACTAGAGAATGAAGTTACAGTACAATTAATGGTTTGGCAAAACCAAAAGTTGACTTTCAGCAAATGAAAACAATGTCAAAATTTATGCTTGCTTCAGTGGGTCATGATGGCAATATCCCCATATTCGGAAAGCGGGCAATGCAAGTATAGCGCTACCAAGTATTCCAGGTTTACCTGCATGGGTTGTGTATCAGAGCCTAGCATATCTTTTAGGAAGGGGTACGCCTCTATATCTTATAACCATTGCACGCACCATAGCCTCACCAAAAATACTTTAATATACTGCCTATACATGAACTATTTCGTAAACATGTTCCCTCAGATGTTGCATTTTTAGTTTATTCGGGGCTAAGTGATACACGCAGAGCTATGTATTGTATGAATCAATAATCTGCCTATAGCCAGCCGGTGCCGTCATCGCCAAGTGTGCAATATTTTGTCCCATTTGCGGCATGTCAAACGATGAAGATAGATATGTCTTTTGCTATTAGTCGCAAAAACGAATGGACAAAAGAAAATAAAGCTTTTAGAGCTCGTCGTGAGCATAGGGGATGGGTGAAACAGAAACAGCGTCATCCTGAGGCGCAGCAGGAACAGGTGTCTTCCCAGAAGGGTCATCCTTCCCATCTACCATACCATCCTCTGGCATAGGGCAGGCGAAGGGGCCAGTAATAAGCGCATGGTATTCGCACTTTTCGGGCTCGGTGACCTTTACTATCTCGATCTCCTCGGCACACTCAAATGTCGCAATAAGCGAGCGGTTGGGCCCGTTCCAGCACTTGTTTCCATTCAGGTACTTGTGGGTGGTATACAGCGTAATTCCGTCGCTGTCCTTGGCGAACTCAGCAAAAGAGCCCAGGTGCTGGCGGGAATTGTCCTTGTTGCTGATCTGAGTAGCCTGGTCCAGCAAGCATACCTCGTACGTGTACTCACCAGCATCCAAAGAGTAACATTTGTCCTTCAGCGGCAGGTACATATCGCGCTCGCCCAAGTCCTTACCCAGGAGCTCGGAAAGCACGCTGACATCATTTGCCAGCTGGCTCTTATCCGAGCTCGCAGTATAGTACGCACTGCGTGCATCGGCCAACCGCTGCTGGAAATCCACATCAGGCTGCTCGGAATCCACCGGAGTTTCGGTGGTCTCGTCAAGTATAAGCTCGAGCCGCGCCTTGGCCTCAGCGACGCGCTCCTGGGCCTTAGCAATCTCCAGAGTCTCGTACTGGCTAGAAATTACTGTGCTATCAGCATCACGCATCTGCTCGAACTCTCCCAAGCCGACGACGGCGGCCTTGACGGCCAAGTCATGGTAGTTTTTGTTATAGTCATCGCGCAGCTTGGCCAAGATGCCGTAGAGCAGGTCGATGTCAGCCTTGTTGGTCTCGCGCTCGCTCTCAGCAATATTGATTGCGTCACGGCAGGCTTCGTAGTTTTTGTCGTCTTGCAATTCGCTGTCGCGGTCCATCTCCTGTTCACGTGCAGCCCGCGCTCCCTCGCCTTCCTCCATCACCGATGCCGCCGCATTTTCCAGGTACGGGTATGCGTCGGCAAACTCGGTGTACTCCTTGACAGCCAGATTCACCGCCTCGTCATTGAACTCGGCGTTGTGCTCGCGGCGCACTGCACGTAGAAGCATAATCAACGAATCGCGCTGCCACCGGCTGCGATGCAAGGCCATGGCCAGGTGCCGCCGGTACGCGATCAGATCTGGCAGATATTCGTCAAAGAGACCCTGCTTGCGCATTGCGCGGTCACTGTCCTGGTTGGCCCGCATCTCCTGTTCCTGCTTTTCCAGCATGTCCTTCAGCTGCTCAGCCTCCGCAAGATGGACTTCGGCGTCAGCTAGTTTAGATTGCTTGCGAGCAAGCTCTTCGCGCTTGATTTTGCGCAGCCCCGATGCCTCACGCACTAGCTGCCTCAGCCGTTGCTGCCCTGCCTTCTGCTCTTTCTCCTGGCTGGCCCTCAACTCCCGGTGCGCGCGGCCCACTGTATCACACGTGTTGGGACATACCACATGCGAGTCCCATTCATCCGACCCATCGCAGCACTGCGGATCGCACACGCCGTCGTTGACTCTGGCAGAGTCGATAATGGCCGGCTCGTGCCCTTCGTTGCGGCAATAGAACGTGCCGTTATTACATGCCGACGTACCCGGCTCGTCTGAGCCGTCAGTGCAATCGCAGTAGTCGTCATTGACACGCGCAAACGGAATCTCCTTGGACCCATCCAAGCACTCGAAATTGCCCCGTGCATTCGCCACATATTTTTCGGCCAAAGCCGGGTTCAGGCCACGAATCTGTGCCGAGGTGCTTACCACTGAGTGTGGCAGCAGCAGCAGGAACGACGCGAGTGCAATACGGGTCTGCATCTGAGTAGAAGATGAAAAAAAAAAAAGACGACAATAGACAGGATTACAAAGAGAAAGCCAGGCTGGGCTATGGGCTCGCTCTCGCTTGTGCCTATGACGCGCATGGTCGTGGCAAATCCAATGATCCGTGCATCTAATCATGTCTTCTCCGCAATGTCTAAATATAGCTACCCTCATCCATGTGATCGCCGGCCATGTACTATTCATATATGCTTTTTCCTACTCTATGGCTTGCTGCTGCAGCCACTGCTGTGTTCGTATTCCTAAAATATAGAAAGAAAATGCTGCTTTAGTGGTCGACAAAGGGGGCAGGGAGGGAGGGGCCAGGTTTTAGACTGTCTCTTTGTTGTTTTCCAGACCGCGATTGGAACAAGTATACCTGCAATCTCTTGCAATGACTAGTGGATATTGTTTCCAGGCAAGGAATCGCTATATTGAAAATGAAAACCAAGCATTCCAACAAAGGAGAAAAGAAACCAGCCTTTGTAATGCTTGGCAAAAACACCACATGTCATCTAGAAGGCCAAGTGAGCACAGCGCCTCCTCGCCCCCCAACTAAAAAAGTTGGTCCTGCAAGGTGTCATGTATTTATACATAGCTCATCCCCCTTCGCTGTTTGTGCAGCTGTTCATCCTGGAATTTATTTTTTACTTCCACTTCCCCTTCTCTCTCCAGCTCTTCCGAGGCTTTTTCTTCATTTTCCTTGTTATACATATATTTTAATGAAGGCCTCTTACCTTGCTTTTCTTCTGAGCCTTTGTGCCTTGGTCATTGCGCAAGAATTGCCATCCACTGACCAGCAGCCATCAGCTAGCGACACTGGCGTTGCTGACACCACAAAGGCCACGCATACTACACAGAGTACAGAGAGTACGGGGACCACCAAATCCGAGCCTACTAGCATGACGCGCTCGGAACCAACCTCCGATACCACTGAGCATATTACCAGCACACCGACCGACATGGATACCGGCGACACTGAGACAGTGACCTCAACCACTACTGTGACATCCTTCCCTCCGATGCCAACCACCAAACATTCCTCCGCTAAACACAGCACAGCCGTGGACACATCGCATTCTCCGACATCCACCGAGCCAACACCAGTCTCAACTGACACCTCCACAGGGACACCGTCGCCAACAAAGAAGCCGACTTTACAGGATAGCAAAAAAAAGTCGAATCTCCCTACCGGCGCTATCATTGGCATAGTAATCGGCGGCGTAGTGGTGCTTGCTGGTGCATTCATTGCATTCCTGTTTTGGCGCCGCAGCAAGCAGCGTAGCAAGTTCTCGAGCAAGATTGACTATGCCGAGTTCCCTGAATTTAGTCCCTCCCACTCTAACGCCAACCAGACGAGTGCCTTGCCGCACAACCAAACCACAAATACTGGGCTTGGGCTATCGGACGAGTCAGGGCACCCGCAGCAGGGTGTGTTTCTACGTGAGCTCGACGAGGCGTAACAAAAATCACTTTCATTGAGTAATATATTTATCGCGTTTTTACTACCTCAGCTCCTCCCGTTTTTTTTTTTACTTTACTGTCGCCTGGCTGCGCTTTGGATCACACTCTCGTTGGATCTGGGCATGCATGGCACCAGGCTGCTGGTCTTCAGCTGGTACGCTCGGTACAACGGGTACTTGCTGGCGCTGATTGCCTCTGTCAAGCGTACCGACATCAGTGTCAGCCCTATCAGCCCACACGCCCCGCCGCAGTACAATCCACTCACGGGTGCCCCAGTCGCTGCCAGCGCAAATGCTGCCAGTGCTACCCACAGTATCTGCTCGCAGAACACATTCGGGTGCCGCGCATACTTGTACAGTCCTGAGTGCACAAACCCGGCCCGCACCTCTGCGCTGTTCGCACCACTGAGCTTCCTCTGCTGGAAGGCATACTGCTGCCCGTCTGCAGCAATCTCCACCACCAGTGCCAAGCACATAACTCCCGCCAGCCCATACTCCGCCATCGACCACTCTTTCTCCACTTCGCTGTCCTGCAGGAGCCGAAGTGGCAACGCAATTCCATACAAGAGCGCGTGCTGACACAGAGCAATAAACACAAAGTTGAATACCTCCCATCCAACTGCATACAGACAGCCCAGGGTTTTGTGGAGCTGTCCGCGCACATGCGCCCACCGGTGGTCCTCAAAGCCCACCGAGAACCCACCGCGCCGCCAGAAGTTGCGTGTATGATGCACAGTCCACACGAAAACTACAGTCTGCACAAATACCGCCTTGCTGGAAACCTGCAGGTAGCCGTCCGAAAGGTAGTGCTCGTGAGTCCACAGAATCCCGTAGATGGTTGGCATCAGCGCCCAGAGCCGGTCGACTGTCGAAAAGTTGCGCTCTCCGCGCTGCTGTACCCACGTCATCGCATAGCTGCCGAAGATCACGCCCCAGAAAAACAAACGCACTGTCTCGGACTCGCCTGGCGGCTGCGTCTGAACGAATTCCACCACTGCTGAGGTCATTTTGGAAGAGTGTGTATACGACTGTAAGAGTTTGCTGCTAGAATACCAATAAAACGCTTAGTGACTGAGAAGAAGCAATAGCCACTTCAAAGGCACAATTAAAGCCAGCCTTTGGCCATGCTGCACACACAAGGACTAGGGGGAAGCCAATGCGGGCTGTGCTGGGACGCGATTTGCTCGATAGTTGCTGCTAACCTGCTGACTTGTCATTGAGTGCAGTGCCACTGACACACTGCCCTCTTGCCAATGCTAATACGCCAAGAGCGGAGGCTTCGATGCCTGGATATAATTCACTCCATGTAGCCCATACAATGATGCCACAACTCCCACTGACATGTCCGCCCACCCCAGAAGACAAAGTACATTCGCTGCATTAGCACTGCATACCCTCACCCCCCTATATAACCCGATTACCACACTGATTCCATAGATACATTCATTGGATCGCCTCACTCCGTCGACAACATACCATAATCGCATTCCCCAAATGCACGTACTCTCTGCGCGCTCTTTCACCCTAGCCTCACTCGGCCTGGCCATCTGTGCTGCTGCTGTACCAGCGAACTGGCCAACCCTGACCAGTGCTCTTTCCCGAGCTGACCAGATGTGGAGTACCGCCGAAGCCCAACTCTCCGACCAGCTCATATCTCTCAGTTCAGCCGATACCCATCTCAGCTCCCAGTTCAACTCGGCCCAGGCAGCGTTTAATTCGCAGATTAACGTGCAGATTGGCTCGCAGATCAGTGACTACCAGAGCGCTGTCTCCTCGATTTCCAGCTACCTAGACTCGCTCTGCAACTCCAAGACACCCTCATGGTTCTGCTTTGGTACTGGCCCTTGAGCAGAACTAGCTCCTTCTCAGTAGCCTAAGTCTCCTCATTATCGGATAAATTCCAGCCTAGACTCAACAACCTATCCGCCTTTTGTGATTCTCATTTCTGGTTGTTCGGAGTAGCTACCGAATGCGACGATTCATTCAGCGGCAGCTTGGCATCCTAGTTGATTAATCATCATTTGCATTTTGGCGTTTGCTCGCTGCTTTAAATACACTTTTATTTGTCGCCAGTAGCGTAGACTGCATACAGCAAGTTATTCTGCAACAAATGCGGCCAATTTCTGACATTGGGTCCATATAACCGAATACCCAATCTGCCTCAAATCGCACACGCATTCCTCAACATGATACGCGGTTGTTTCTATATACCCAATCCTCGATTTATAAGGAAGCTCCTTCAATTAACATACTTTACCTGCCATTGTGTAAACTGCATCCTCCTCTTCACTATGCAGTACTCATTCGGTTTTATATTCCTGTTTATCGCCTTTGCCTCTGCATCACCATCAAACTGGTCAACTCTGACTCTGATTCTTCCGCTATCAGAACCAGCTACACTCTGGAGCAACATGCAATCACAAGCATATTCGCAAGTTTCTGCTGGCTTGGACTCTCAACTAAACCCACAGTTCTCTGTAGTGTACGGGCACGTGATGCTAGCCACGAGGGAACAAGCACACCCCCAGAACGCGCAGATAAAAGGCCGTATGCGACAGAGATACAGATTGTTTCCACAGGTTTATTCTTTTACTCAAAATATAAACACGTCATCTCTTCTCAATTCGGCCCATACATAGGGATACACTTGACTTATTCCAACATGCTGTGTAGCGCCCCAGAATACGCGTGGATATTCAATGGCATGGACTTTTAACACCATCTATATTTCTTCAGGGTATCCTCAGTGGCAACTATCAGCGTTATTGAAAGATATGAAGCGTGAAATCGATATTCTGCTTAACAAATAGCTAGTATAGACAGGCTTTATTTTATAAAAACATCCACTTGCAAGGTAGACTACAAACGGCTCAATGCGCTTAGTAAGAATGTAAAGGATTGGAGTTAGATGCAAAGAGACACAAAACAAACGACGGAAATCATCTATTTCCGCTTTTAGACAGCATTTTCACTTTTAGACACGGGCAGCAGCAGTTCCAGAGGTCGGAGTAGGGGCAGCTGGTGCAGTAGGGGCAGGGGCAGGAGCAGCAGCCGCAGCTCCACTGTTGTATCCATTGTTGTATCCACCGCTAGCATATCCACCAGGTGCTGGTGCCGTCACTGTGTTAGTCACCGTCGAGGTGGCAGTCACGGTGGTTGCAGGACCGGTCACAGTAATCGCAGGAGCGGTCACAGTGGTCGCAGGAGCAGTCACGGTGGTCGCAGGAGCAGTCACGGTGGTTGCAGGAGCAGTAACTGTATCGGTCACGGTGCCTGCAGGAGCGGTCACAGTGGTCGCAGGAGCAGTCACAGTAACCGCAGGAGCAGTCACGGTGGTCGCAGGAGCTGTCACGGTGGTCGCAGGACCGGTCACAGTAATTGCAGGAGCGGTCACGGTGGTTGCAGGAGCGGTCACGGTGGTCGCAGGAGCGGTCACGGTGGTCGCAGGAGCAGTCACGGTGGTTGCAGGAGCAGTAACTGTATCGGTCACGGTGCCTGCAGGAGCGGTCACGGTGGTTGCAGGAGCGGTCACGGTGGTTGCAGGAGCGGTCACGGTGGTTGCAGGAGCGGTCACGGTGGTTGCAGGAGCGGTCACGGTGGTTGCAGGAGCGGTCACGGTGGTTGCAGGAGCGGTCACGGTGGTTGCAGGAGCGGTCACGGTGGTCGCAGGACCGGTCACAGTAATCGCAGGAGCTGTCACGGTGGTCGCAGGACCGGTCACGGTGGTTGCAGGAGCGGTCACAGTAATCGCAGGAGCTGTCACGGTGGTTGCAGGAGCTGTCACGGTGGTTGCAGGACCGGTCACAGTAATTGCAGGAGCGGTCACGGTGGTTGCAGGAGCGGTCACGGTGGTTGCAGGACCGGTCACGGTGGTTGCAGGACCGGTCACGGTGGTTGCAGGAGCGGTCACGGTGGTCGCAGGAGCGGTCACGGTGGTTGCAGGAGCGGTCACGGTGGTTGCAGGAGCGGTCACAGTAATCGCAGGAGCTGTCACGGTGGTTGCAGGAGCTGTCACGGTGGTCGCAGGACCGGTCACAGTAATTGCAGGAGCGGTCACGGTGGTTGCAGGAGCGGTCACGGTGGTTGCAGGAGCGGTCACGGTGGTCGCAGGAGCAGTTACTGTCACTGTCGAGGTGACCGGGGGCACGACACCCGATGACCCGTACGACCCATACGACCCGTTCGACGCGTACCCGCCAGGGACAGGTGCCGATGTGGGTGCAGCAGCAGCTGATGTAGGTGCAGCAGCAGCCGAGGTCGGTGCAGCAGCAGCTGAGGTCGGTGAAGCAGCAGCTGAGGTTGGTGCAGCAGCAGCTGAGGTTGGTGAAGCAGCAGCTGAGGTTGGTGAAGCAGCAGCTGAGGTCGGTGAAGCAGCAGCTGAGGTTGGTGCAGCAGCAGCTGAGGTTGGTGAAGCAGCAGCTGAGGTTGGTGAAGCAGCAGCTGAGGTCGGTGAAGCAGCAGCTGAGGTTGGTGCAGCAGCAGCTGAGGTTGGTGCAGCAGCAGCTGAGGTTGGTGCAGCAGCAGCTGAGGTCGGTGAAGCAGCAGCCGATGTAGGTGCAGCAGCAGCCGAGGTTGGTGAAGCAGCAGCCGAGGTTGGTGCAGCAGCAGTTGATGTGGGCGCAGCAGGAGCTGAGGAAGAGGCAACGGCGCTCGATACGTAGCTCGATCCGTAGCTCGATCCGTAGTTAGCAAAATGGACGCCCTTGAAGGCTGGCGAGGCAAAGGTGCCAATCGAGAGGGCAAGAACAGCAAGGGCGGCGATGTTGATCTGCATATTGTCGTTTGATTATCCGAGTATGCTAGTACTGAGTGAAACTAGATGGGTCTGTGTCTAAAAGAATCTATGAAGTCTACGTTCTGCAGCGAGATATTGCCTATTGAAGCTATTTTTGCAAATGCCTGAAGATACTTGAGGATACAGATTTTACTCTGCGTGCTTTTCGTCTGCTCTCGCTCTTTTATACTGAATTTGGTGGTGATGGTCTGCAATGCACTGTGGCAGTCCTGCCACTAGGGAAAGGGGAATTTTTAATGTATGCAGTGCCACATGGTCCATTGCATTTTGGTTGTGTGGGTGAGTATAGCTACCAACGAATTGACCCCCCTTCTTTTTCAAAGGAGGATAAGCCCTCTCAGTATCTATGTTTCATTCCTGCAAAAAGCGCAATGGTGACCATTACTTCCCCCACCTGTATGACCGGCGCCAGCTCAGCCCCAGTCACACAGGCAACCATACTGGCCGCATATAATTGGCACACATTGAGTCGCAGTACATCCAAAAGGAGCACTCTGAAAATATGGAGCATGGCGAATACAGGCGCAACCCATTCTCTCACTGACACCATCCAGGTGGTTAATCTTTATGCGACACGTGGGGGGTCCAGATTGTACAATAAGCCGTGTGTGCCGAGCTCCATATGGCTGCCCCGATTTTTAACTTCCCCTGCTGACCCACCTGCGACACGTCCTAGCCCCACGCGCTGAAAAACACCTGTATTATCCGGAGCATTATATCTACGGGTGCTAGATCCACCTGCCTGTTTCAGTCATGGATGGGTATGCTACAAATCGCATTCTAGGCCAGATCATCCAGCGCTTCCTCGGCCAAGTGCGCCTAGCTTCACTCTACAAAATACACCCATGTTTCCCAGAAACAGAGCGCTTGCTTGCGTGTTGTAGAAAGAGGTGTATAAAAAGCAACCCCGTCGCAAGCATCAGTACCCTCAGCATTCTTTCAGGCATCTCTACTGATATACACTCAAAAAAAGCATACTTGCACCCTCGCATACCTCCTCTCCTTCACATCAGTTCCCCTATCACTTCACCCCTTCGGTTATTGTTACCAATGCTAGTCAAGTTCGGATTTGTTGCTGCTCTGGCACTTGGTGTGTTGGCCAAGCAGGCACCTACCGACAGCAGTGCTGCTGTTGTTGAAATGGTTGAGCCCGGAAAGGCTGGCATGCCAGAGTCGCGGATTCGCGTAGCACTCGATGACGAAAACGAGGACCTCTTCAAGAAGCACCGCAAGAAGAAGAACTCTGGTGGCGGTGGTGGTGGCTACTCATCGGCTCCGCCAAGCGGTGGCTACTCATCGGCCCCGCCAAGTGGTGGTTACTCGTCGGCCCCTCCAAGCGGTGGCTACTCATCGGCTCCTCCAAGCGGTGGCTACTCGTCGGCCCCTCCAAGCGGTGGCTACTCATCGGCCCCGCCAAGCGGTGGTTACTCATCGGCTCCGCCAAGTGGTGGTTACTCGTCGGCCCCTCCAAGCGGTGGCTACTCGTCAGGCCCATCATCTCCCCCTCCTCCTTCAGCGTATGGCTCCTCTCAGGGTCCGGCTCCGGCTCCAGCTCCGGCTCCAGCTCCGGCTCCAGCCCCAGCCCCAGCCCCTGCCTATGGTTCTTCTGCTCCCTCTCCTAGCGGTTATACAGCTTCTGCCCCTGCCCCTGCCCCTGCTCCTGCTCCTGCTCCGGCTCCGGCTCCGGCCCAGGCTCCTTCGTACGGTGCTCCTGCTCCAGCGTCATACGGTGCCCCAGCCCAAGCCCCTGCTCCGGCTCCGGCTCCGGCTCCGGCCCAGGCTCCTTCATACGGTGCTCCTGCTCCAGCGTCATATGGCGCCCCAGCCCAAGCACCTGCTCCGGCTCCGGCTCCGGCTCAGGCTCAGGCTCCTTCGTACGGGGCTCCTGCTCAAGCGTCATATGGCGCCCCAGCCCATGCCCCTGCTCAGGCTCCGGCCCAGGCTCCTTCGTACGGTGCTCCTGCTCCAGCGTCATACGGTGCCCCAGCCCAAGCCCATGCACCTGCACCTGCACCTGCGCCGGCTCAGGTTCCTTCGTACGGTGCTCCCGCTCCAGCGTCATATGGCGCCCCAGCCCAAGCCCCTGCTCAGGGTCCGGCTCCGGCTCCGGGTCAGGCTCCTTCGTATGGTGCTCCTGCTCCTGCTCCTGCTCCTGCTCCTGCTCCTGCTCCTGCTCCTGCTCCAGCGTCGTACGGCGCCCCAGCCCAAGCACCTGCTCAGGGTCAGGCTCCGGCTCCGGCTCAGTCATATGGCGCTCCGGCTCCGGCGTCATATGGTGCTCCAGCTCCAGCTCCAGCTCCTGCCCCTGCTCCAGCTCCAGCTCCAGCTCAATCATACGGTGCTCCTCCTCCGGCTCAGTCGTACGGTGCTCCGAGTGCTAACGATGGTTCGGGTAGCTACGGCAGAAAGTAGGTCAAATAGTACATTCTCAATGGCTATTGATCATATTGATTCCTACTCAACATTACTTCACTATCATATCCTTTACAAATATGAACACTTTATATTCTGCACTAGTTCCCTCAAGTGTTACAATATACATTCTGTTGTGACCCATCGAATCGAGATGCTGAACACCCCTTGATATTATCCAGCAAGAAAACTACATGCTTCCATGTGGTGTGTCCCTACATTAAGAAGCACGAGGGCTTTAGGGTGTTTATCAGCCAGCTTCCTCATCAGCTACTCAATATATCATATTGTATAAAGGAAAGTATACTCTTCATGAGTGTGCCTTGGTGCCATGACTCTCGTGCTATTTGCATTATCTGATAATCACTAGGCTCACACACATAAACTTAAGTCATAATGTCTATCACTCTTGTGTAGACATTGACATGAGAACAGCTGGATTATTGCAGGCGTATAAACATGCCACATATTTTTATCTGCAGGAAAAGATGCTGCCAGTTTGGTTCTTCTGTGTAGGATGTATGTTGTAGTAGTTGTCACTGGACACTTCGTGTTAATTATGTTTCTGCTGTGTAGCTTAGCGACTATTTGTGCTATTACCTTTTAATTCTGGTTGCGTCGATAGCCTCACATTTTATCCATTATGATGGAGAGGATAGCTTATTAAACATGAGATTCCTAGCGTTATGTTTCCATAACTTAGGCTATCAATATTCTGGATTGACACAAGTCCAATACTGACGAGTACAATGGACCAAATTACTACTGGAATGCATGATGAATGCCGGTGCGGTGATAGACATCGCAGAATTCCTGAGCAACGAAGGCATTTGCTCAATGAATCTATTTACAGTCTGCTACATGTAAACGAGTTGTAGCAACAGCCGAACCGCCTGCGAGTCGGCTCAGCCTTGATCCTTCAGTTCTTAACCCAAGCTGGCGGATGTAGGCATTTCTCCAGATAACCCCCCACACAACTGTTCATAGAGCGGACACTTTGCATTGCTAATACATCGCCCATGTGTATGGGCAACATCTAGAACATCAGCAGCCGTGGTGCAATTAATGTCCCATATGGCTCCAGCTTAATGGCACTGGATACACACTCCACATACTGGTTTATGTGAGCGTCCTATTAAGCACATTCAGTACTTCTACTTATCTACCCTTAGAACCATTGGCTCAATGATGTCTAGGCTCTGGCAACCGAAGAGCCTGATCCGAGCATTGCACTCATCATGCACTCGACACACACTGCACCCATTCCTAGAGACTGCCTCGTCCGGATCGGTTGCACACGCCATTACATATTCGCAGCAAATTTCGGAACAAGAGCCAGAGCCATTTCGGCTGGTGCGTGAGCAGGCGATCAGCTTTGATGCACACGAAGCGCGCAAGATGATCTCGCCATTGCAAGGCTCATTTATGGCGCAAATGGTCAGGGCAGCACGAGCGGAGAATGTCCTTGAGCTCGGATGCTATTTGGGGTACTCAGCACTGTGGCTGGCACATGGACTCGGCAATGACAAGGGCCATGTGTGGACTTGTGAGCGAGATATGCGAGTAGCTGACCATGCTGCGAAGCACGTAGCACAGGCTGGCCTTTTGCAGAGAATAAGTGTGGTTCCAGAGCCGGCCGACAAGGTCCTGCGAGACTGGGATCTGGCTGACAGGCGGCTGCTGGACTTTATTTTTATCGACGCCAACAAGTCTGGATACAGGGGTTATTATGACCTAATTATGGACCGGGGGTTGCTGAGTCAAGGTGGGCTGATCGTCGTTGATAACGTGCTGTTTCATGGCCAAGTCCCTCAAGTCGCGCTTGGCAAGCAAATGGCCGATGAGGGCAAAGGGTTGCGTATTGCCAAGAAGCTCCTTGACTTTAACCAGCATGTCGCACAGGATTCACGTACAGTCCAAACTCTGCTGCCTGTATTTGATGGGCTCTTGCTTGTGCGCCGAGCCTAAATGCATGCTTTAGACTTTGAAATTAATGCATCCTGTGAAACTTGTCGGACCGGACAGACTGGTACAAAACCATCGCGCACTCAGCGGAGTACGAAAACAATTGGTGTTGCTGTTTTTGAGCTGTGCGGGAAACCAGAACCGGCGGGATCTGCAGCTTTTTTTTTTGCGCCTTCTCTACCTTTTTATGCAGCTTGGCCCTGGCAAACGAGGCTGCTATCTATTGCCCAGCACACAAGCCTTGGCGAATCCAGCATAGACCATTGCCACTGCCCTTTCCCTGGCCACGGTCTCCTGGAGTAAATAGATTCGAAAAGCAGTGGTTGCGTCTCTGCAAAGAGGGGTGCAAGCGACTTTCGACAAAGCGGCTCCTTTTATTTAGAAAATAGCAGTTGCTTTAATTATCTGCCGCTGAGCGAAGAAAGAGAAAAAAAGCCTCAATGGAATGCGAATCGTGCAGATTGCTGCATCGAGCTCGTTCGCTAGGCCCAAACATTCAAAACCTGGGCAGATCCACAGCCGGGCCACAGCCGCCTCTTTGCCTCTGCAATTTTTCGTACTCGTTTCTTTATTTTTTTTTTTTCATTTCCCCCTTCCTCCCTCACACACAGCCTCCCTCACACTCATTATCTACATCTCTTTTCTCGTATGCAAGACCCGGCGTCAAAGATCCCACTGCCACGCGGCTCGGTGTTTGATCGAGTCAAATGGATTGAGAAAACACACGGGGCGAGTAATCCGCTGGCGGACCAGATCAATGGCGGCAGCAGAGGCAAGGTAAAGCTGCCACGGGCTTCGCGTGTGTCGGAGCGGGCTGTGCAGATTAACGAAACAAACGAGCGTATTAAGGAGCAAGAATCGCGCATCCCAAAGCTGTCAGAAATCAGCGTGCTGGCAGGGAAGCCGGCTGCCAAGCTGGCGGTGCAGCCATCGCCAGTAATTAGTGAGGCCAGCACCATTGAGGTTCCTCCAGCAGTGGATACCTCAGCGGTCATATCAGGAGCAGTTCTGGAGCAAGGGGCATTCTCAGCGCCAGTCATGAACAGTAGCCTTGTGCATTCGCGTAGCCAGAGCAATGCATCGTCGACAACACCGGTGATGCCCATAGAGAGCAATGCTAGCCCAGGGGTTGAATCTGCTGACGAAAATCAGCAGCTGCCAGCATGTGGGCCGCCGGTGAGCCTCCAGCGCATGACGATTGTCGACGATAGCGAGGATGACAATGAACTTAGCCGCCTGCAGCCAACGCAGGTCATGGCACGTGGTGGTGCTGACGATAAGCACCCGCAGCGTGCAGCGACTCTGCCGCGGTCCTTCACAGGGTCGTCGTCATCGGCAGGACGGCCAAGCCTTGGGGGAGTGCGTGGCAGAGCAATCAACACTAGCAGGCGGTACCATAAGGCGCCAATCGCTGCCTCGCAGGACGAGGCTCGCCCATTGTCGTCGTCAAAAAGCATGTCTAGCCTGCATCACCAGTCCGAGCCCATTGGCGACTATCATGAGCACGAGCGGCCATCGCTTTTGCTGCGTCTCAACGAGATCAGTGCCCAGCGGCCAACAAAAACCGACCTTGTCAGTAACCGCTCGTCGCCGCGCTTTGTTAAGCGCTCTCAATTTTACAGCACCACCGAGCTAAGCACCACTACCACCAGCATGCACCGTCCTACACGGCGGTTCAAGTGAAATAATACATCACCCCTCCTCATCTCGCTACTTTAGTGGAAAGGAATGTGCACTGGCATGGAGTTCCCTCTGTGCTGTGTGTGTATGTGCTGTGTTTAGTTGTCTCAGCTATGTGCTTTTGATCGGGCTTTGAGGCAGGAAGCATTCATTGGACTACCACAAATCACTATAGTAAACCGCTTTATCTATGACGCGGTGAACTGGTTCAGCCCTTTAACGAGAGCAGCTGTTGGTGCCACCGTCTGTTGGTCACACTCTTTTACAAGCACATCTAGCGCTTTCTTCGATATCACTAGCATGCTAGCTTTATATCTCCCTAGTATGTGGCATTCCACCCGATCATCCAAGACGACCGATATGCTTCCATTCTAGAGCCCATGCTATAGAGTATTCTATTCCTGCGGAAAGCAAGATACAAAGGGCCATCGTTGCCATCTTCTTCAAGTGTGAGATTAGACTGGGTTCCAATCCAGCTCCAAACTTAAAGCTCCCTTTCCTAAAGTAGGCAGAACTCAACATCTTCAAGGGTGTAGTTGCGCATAGTGAACTTGATCTTCGGTAGAACAGCAATTCTTACCACAGCTAGTACACCTATTCCGGGATATTATTTAGCCAGAACACGAGTGATGAAGAACACTCAGTGTCTATATAAGGGAATTCGGGATAGTGTAGACAGGATATGTAGCGAGAACCCCATGCTGTAGTCACCCTGTGTTCTGATTTGCTGGTTTCCTTCAATACCAAATCTGCTTGTAGAAAGATCCATTTTGGTATTGGCAACTGTGCTTTTATATCAGACGATCCACCTAAGCGAGATAGATAACATATGCATTAGTTGACAATGCAAAAGGCTCTCGAGACTTTGTCGTTTGTGTGTCCAATATTTTATTTCTTTTGACAACACAGTTGGAAAGTATGACTGCAAGAACACCATTGGCCATTAATAATACTTGCCAACTTATTCCTCTTCATAGTACCATTTACATCAAGATTTATTGCTCACTTTTGCAAGCAGTACATGTTCAGGTGGCAGAAATTTGATTCTACATTGGACCACGGCTGTCCAGCAAAGGCGTAATTTAATAATAATATTCGAAACAAACCGCTCATGACAACATAAGTGTCTTGCAAAACTCTTCCTATATTGAGCCAAACATTGCTAATATATTTATTAAACACCCGTCAGTGACATGATAAGCAAACTGCACAATATCCTTGCTATAATGGTGCTCAGTGCAGGTATCTGTAGCGAGTAGAGTAGCATTGTGGCCTGACTGCAAGGTAGCATACTCTATTTGCTCATACAAACAGGTACCATAGTGACTCACAACAGGCCACAAGGAACTCATGCCCGACTATTGCCCACTGGCCAGCACTATGGACTTCGAACTCGATCCCACTCTTCAATATAGAATAGGCTGCTTTATGCTGTTGCATTTTCAAGTGTAAATATGACCATTTTGGATGTGACCCTTGAATTCTATGTAAAGGCTTGCTAGTAGGAACGAGTGCAAATGTGATAAATATAAATTAAATTGTAAACTTTCTGGATGAATGACATAATACTTATAAGAAACAGTACAGGCATGTGCACCGTTTAATTATATGCACATGGGGGCTTATGCTTTTATTATTCCAGCCAATACCATAGGCTTGGAAACCAAAATTAGTGCTCCCGAATGTTGGATGGACAGCACTGTCAAGGAATGTTCCATTTACAATAAAGAATTGCCATTCACCAAGGGTCTAATCACCACATTCTCTCTTGCTCAAGGTAGAAATCTCAATGGGTTTGCACACATTTCCATGGAGTTTGGTTTAGAATGTCGCTCAGAATGGACAGGTGACTTTAATATGAAATTGCACGGTGTATTCTATATAATGAAACCACAAGAAAAGCTACTCGGGTTCTGTTCTGACTTTATACTTGCGGATAAATTTGTTTACAAACTTGTCAAGCGACTCTTTTTCCAAGCTATCATAGCTGTTGCACCAGGTCTTTCCCCACAGCCTTTCGACAACACCATCGCCAATCATGATTGTGCTGCCGCTCTCTGGCTTCATGCAGTAGCGGTGCTTCTGGGCAACAAGAACAAGGTACCAAGGGGTATTCTCGTCGGCAATTGTGAATTCGAGGTCAGTGATAGTCTGCTCGTCGAGATATTTCCATTTCAGACCTTGACCGTGACCAAGTACAAAGTAATAAGCCCTTAGAAAAGTGTAGTTGTGGATAGAAAGATTTATCTTCATTGCTATGCTATGTATAAGAGGTACAGAAAAGCGGAAAATCTAGTGTTACACGGAGGCTTTAGTGGGCTTTTTGGTTGGCATGTATGTGATTTGTTTTTTCCGCAACATGTCGCTGATATGGCAGGCCACACGGTTATGGCCATTGCCACTGATTTCTACTGGCAGATGGCTTAGAACTCAATTCCAGGCAGTGTACTACTCAGCTATGGTTGCTGATCTGAAGCAGACAATTGGATGGATCCGAACACATGACTGCAAGTCAAACAAGTAGTTGTGAGGTGCAGCTGAGGTGTGCTGAGAATTCTAACTCACAAGGAACCATAGCCCGTTGCACTGTATTCGGCTATATGGATACCTGGTCATCCAGGCTAGCGTGAGGATCGCCGCAGTAAACAAGCAATGCCAGAATATTGGGTGGCTCAGTTTGCACCTTTTCCTATCCACTTGCAGGAAATTGCATGCTCATGCTGAGTACATTGTAGTCCTAGAAAAAGAGGCAGAAACGCGTCATAGAGTCACAAATCTCTCTAGAGCTTAGCCATGAGCAGGGATTCGAAAATACGCTTGCCATTTGACTCAATGCAAGCACTTTTATTCGGCACATGGTCTACTAATATCTATCCCCTAGCAGCAGCGCTTAAATGGGTGGCTGTGGACAGTTTGGTTACATTGCTTAGAAGAAGGATTTATATTTCAGTCCACACATACTGGCAGCCATTGGACAGGCGTGGTCTGGCATAAGACCCCTACTATGTATATCTGGTGGCTGGTGATGCGGAATACCGCGCATATACCTTGGGCTGCCATCAGGCATAGTCCACAGCCAAGCGTCATTGCAGATGGTAATCTGGAAGAAGCCGTGGCAGGAGACCAGGGGCTAGCACAACATGGTTAAAGTTAGTAGGTGAGCGGTCAATAGCGTGGTCGCAGTACAAGCTAGCTGGTATTGCATCTGTGCTCATCAGACCCCTCTGGATGTATGAAGCAACAGCAAAGGCTTCGGTGGCTACATAAAATGTAACATATGGGGATGTCGTGTGTTGTCCGGCAGAGTAGTAGATAGGGTGGATGGTGGACTAAACATAGCTATGTGGCCAGACCACCAAATAAAGAAGAGCTGGAAAGGGGAGTTGAGGCAATAAATAGGAAGCAGAGAATGAAAGAGGCAGGTTGGAAAAGCAAATAGGGATTATAATGGTTGGGGGTGTTAACCTTGGGAATGGGACGAGTGTTTACGAGCGTGTATGTGAGCAAAATAAAAGGTGAAACAAGATTGACTGAAGGAAAAGGGGAGGATCCGGTCGACCTGAGGTCTGATTTTATGTGGTTTGGTTGTTGGCATGGTGACGTTGGAGTGGATCAGCACTCCAATGTCAACAGGGGGTGCAGTATAGGTATAGCGTTGCCCTGCTTCCATTTCTGACAACTTGGTCTGAATATCAAGTGCCAGTTTGGCATGTTGACTAAGTGCTATAGTTGAGGGCTATGTATTGTGCAGTCTTGTTTTTGTTTTGTAATGGAGCAAAAACAGCAATAACTGGCACTACAGGAGCTGCGGAATAGATAGCATACGCTCACGCATTCCTTCGGCGACATCCTCAACTGCAACACTGGCATTATGCCTGACGATGTCGTCCTCATCTCCTTGCTCGATGCGCCTCAGCAAGCGATATGCAGTGCGCAGTGTATCTGCATCGACGCTTTGGCCGCGAACAAGCTCCACCAAAAACACAACAGCAGCACGGCGGACCTCGACAGACCCCAATGCCAGGATATCACCAAGGCAGTGGATGATTTCATGCAGCGAGCTCAGCAGTGCCAGTGGGTAAGTTTGTGCGATTGCCGCAAGGATGGAGATGGCAGACTGTGCGATCACACCGTCTTCACGCACCGATTCTAGTAATGGTGGTAGGAGGATCTTGGAGTACTCGGCCAGCATCTCACCTGCCCGCAGTACAGTCTGCAGGAGAGCCTCACCAACGCGCAGGCGCTCGTCGACAGTTCCCCGGCGGTACATTTCAGCGAGGCGCGGAATAAAGCGCTCGGCGTGGACGTCGGCCAGAGCGGCTAGACCCTTGATGGCATTGAAGTAAATGAAGCTATCGTCATTGCGCAGCATCTCGACAAAGATATCCACAGCCGTACTGAGCCTGGTGGCATCGGCCAGAGCAGGTGATTTTGCTAGCACCATATTACGCAGCTCAACAACGCCGTGTGCTTGGATGGGGATCATAGCGTCGTTGATATCGCGCAGTGCACTGTTGAACCGCAAAATCTCCGAGCCAGTCTCCGAGTCATGATGCGGCTCAGTCGTTGAGTGGCCACTGATTGCCATGACCATGGCAACCTGCAGCTTGACTTCGCCAGCCAGTCGAGCTACCACAGGAAGGGACTGTGAGGAGCTCAGGAGTGTGAGCTGGGACTGGATTCTGCGCAACAACTTCAGCGACGGGTTGTCCCATTGCGGCTCTTCACCAAGCAAAATCTGACCTAGTAGCATTAACGCGAGAATGGCCGTTTCGGTTTCGCCCACGCGACCCTCAACTTCTTCGCTGACATCGTCGAGAGATTGCTCAGGCGACTTGCCGCCTACACTCAGCGACTTGACAAGCTCCTCAATCGATACTTGCCGCTGTTCTCCAGCCGTCGACGGCTGCTGCTGATTCTCTCTTATGCTGTCGCAGGCCCTGGCCAGTGTGCTGTGGACAAAAGCCAGTACCTGCGCGCGCTGGGTCAGGACAGCAGGGCCGAATTTTTCGACCATCTCCAAGGTGGTTTGCGAGAGGAGCCACCACTTGACAGTTAGGTCTTCAGTGGGCATGCCACTGCGCAGTATCTCCAGCATCGCCTCCTGCTCGCGCAGCAGCGTGATGAAGAGGTCGCCGAGAAACTGCTTCAGATCAGATGCCATGAGCACATCAATGAGGGCCTCAATTGGCAAGTGGTCCTGCCGGCTGCCATTGCGAACCAGAAGCACCTTGCCAGTAGTGGAGGCTTTTGCGAAAACAGGCCAACAGCAATCGTGGCTGCGCACATTCTGGATCAGACGCAGAATCAATGCTGTGGCAGCTGGCTGTGGCAGCTGTGTGAGCGTACTGACCAATGTGGTTTTGGCGCGCGTATTTTGCGTGTCCTGCGCAAACATGTAAAAGAGAGGCAGGAACACCGGGCAAACGAGCTCGGCCAGTAGCCTTTCTGACGGCATTTTCTGCGTAAATAGATGCAACCACGCTAGGCTAGTTTCCAGCTCTAATGGAGAGCTAACGATCTGGTCGCCCTGATCATTACTGATCTCCTGTATCAGCGGCTTCTTGCTGATACCTTGGCCAAGCGCACGCTGCACCAGATCGTCATTTGCATGTTCTGGCTGCGTCTCACTGTTAGCTGGCAAGTCCGACGTAGGCTCAAACCATTGCTGCAGCGGTAGGCACACATGGGGGACAACCAGCGTGCGGAACGCATCGGGGTGTTTCTCAGCACATTGACTAAGCGCATAGGCAGCGGTAGAAGATACTCGACTCTGCCTTGCTTTCGCATCCAGAGCCATTCTGATCGCCTCCTGCGCGTCGTTCTCTACCTCGCTCATGTCCGCAGTCTGAGGGTCGGCCAACTGCATAACCTGGGGCACAACTTTCTCCAAATACACCTTGGCGTCCATTCCCTTTGGCGGCGTCAAAAGTAGATTGGAGATTTTGTGCATTTTCTCTGTCGTCAGTTCGCCGTCGCTGACCATGTAATCCAGAGTAACCTGAACGCCGCCTGTGCGCAGCAGCACGCGGCTCAGGAACCGTCCGCACATAATGCAGAACCATTTGATCTGCCCCTGCTTGCTTTGCACTGCTGCATTGAGTAGAACCGTCAGCGACTCAATCAGCAGGTACGGCTCGGATTTGTCAAAGAGCCGCGAAAACATCTTCTTCAGTTCCACCCGTCGCTCTCCGTCCACCATTGTCCCGGGGCGTACTGGCTTGTACGCGCATTGCATCAGTCCCGCCAGCAGATCCGCCAAGTACCGGTTTGCCAGAATCGCACCCACGTCGGTCAGGCCCATGCACTGGTCGATGATCCTGACCAGCCGCTCCAGCCACTCCTCCAACCCCATGCTCTCTGTTGGCGGCCAGACAGTACCTGCCTGCTGCATCTCCTTCAGCACGCCAGCTGTCCCATTGCTAATGCGCTGGCTCACCGCCACACCTATCCCTGGATCAAACCGCGGCGCTATCTCAAAGTACATCAATAAATCTATCGCCTGTGCCACCACCTTGCGGTCACGCAGACCAAGCGGGTCTACCTCGCCCGGCACATTATTGCCTGCTATCTGCGTCTGCAGTGTCTCCAGGCTACGCAGGATCTGGTGTGTCGGGAGCGGCTTTATTTCTATTAGCGCGTCGGATGTCACCCCGCTTTTGCTCAGCTTCTGCATCGCCGCCTTGATCGTGCTCATGGCTTCGGAAACCTCCTTTGCTAGCTGTTGCAGCGCTGGGAATTCGCTGGAAACAGGACCAGTCGACATTTTTGTTGCAGCAATTTTCCTATCGTAGTCTTGTGAAAAGCAAACTAAAACACTGAGCACTGTCTTCGTGAAAAAAAAAACCCCCCTATCAACCTGACAAATACGCAGCTCCAGCTGCCAAAACCTCGAGGTGATCTGATGATTCCTGATCTGGCTGTAAAAGCACTCGTCCTTGCCTTCTCGATCGCAGATACTGTCTTTTTCTTTTCTTCTCCATTCCTTTTTACTTGCTCATTTCGATACAGCAGATGTCGCGTCAACCTATACCGTCTGTAGTGCGCCGCCTGCCAGTGACTGCGCTTGAATTTCTCTCCGATGACCTGCTTTTGGCGAGCAACGGCGGCTGTCTTACTCTATTTGATGTCCGATCCAGCCGCTGTCTTGCTGTTGCCGAAGTCTTCCCCTACGCGCGCATCTATGGAATCATCGCTGACCGCGAGCGCTCGCAGATCCTGGTGTTCGGGGGCAAATCATGGGCTATCGTCGATGTCGCTTTCGCACAGGGCTGTTCAAGCACTCCAGAGCTGATGGTGGATGGTGTGTTTGATACTGAAGACTGGATCAAGGCCGGCCACTTGGTTACTGACAACAATGGCATGCCATTAGTGGCTTTAGCATTTGCGCACAACCAGGTCGGTGTCTACCAGCCAGGAACCGGTGAGCTAGTACATTTTGCCCAGTGCTCCGAACACTGCATTCTCTACGCGGCCGCCTTTTTCGGCACAACCCTTGATTCACTGATTGTCGCTTCTGGCACTGTCTTCAACCAGGTTTTATTCTGGAAGCCACTCTCACATGGGGTGTCGCCGGTGCGCCCGGTCCTAGCAGACTGCCCTGTTTCTACTCGTCTGGTAGGCCACGAGGGCGTTGTTTTTTCAGTCAGCTTCGGTGCAGCTGCACAGACCGTGGCTTCTGTCTCAGATGACCGGTCTGTGCGCCTCTGGGATGCGGCATCCCAGACCGCCACTGTCATATACGGCCATCAGGCGCGGGTCTGGAAGTGTCTGATACTTGAAAACTACCTAATCAGTGCGTCCGAGGATGGAACATGTCGCGTGTGGGACCGCAGGCAAGACAATAGACCTGTGGGCTGCCGCAGACAGTGCAAAAAGAATGTTTGGGCACTTGCTGCCAATCCGAGCCAGACTCTAGTGGCCAGCGGCGGCGGTGATGGCTCTTTGTTGGTGTGGCCGCTGGATAACGTCGAAGGCCGGTTTGTCGAGTCGGACGATATGCTTATTGCCATCAGCTTGCCACCTGCAACTGCGTACATGGCGGGCCAGGCATGTGTGAAGAACGAGCATATCCGTGCATTCGCGCTGACTGACAGGAACTCTGTTATCGCCACAACTCACTCAGGCCGTGTTCTTGAATATGACTGCGGCAATAGTCAGTGGCTGCCAGTGCCGCTGTTTGTAGACCCACGTCTAGCTGGGTACTCGATGACTACGAAATCCGAGAAAGGCGATCTGATTGCAATTGGAATGTCTGACGGCTCGGTCGCCTTGCTTGGGCCGCAATGCACGGTGCATGTGGAAAGACTGCACTGCGGCATCGTGCGAATGCTCTTCATCACCAATTCGCTAGATGCTGGCTCATATAACCTTGTCACGGTGGATGCTGACAATACCGTGATCTGGACTCACGTGCAGACTGACAGCATCCAGCAGTCATGGTCGTTGCGTGCGCAATTCGATGTGCCAGACTCAGTCTACGTCTCTAGTGCCGATATCAACGAGCGGGCAGGATGGGCTGCTATCGGCACGACGAACGGAATGCTGCTCATTTACGACCTCCCACCGGACATTATTCATGCCAGTGTTGCCGGGCGCGCTAATGGCGAACTGCTATCTGCAATTATGCTCAAGCCAGCTATTGTCTGGCCACATGCCCACGGCAAATTCACTGTCTCGACCATTCAAATTGTACCCACTGGCACCAACTGTAAATGCACGATTAGTACCGGCGGGCGAGACGGTGTTTTCCAGCAACTCAGCGTAGCTGTGACTGGTAATGCTACCACTCCACATTTTACACTAGCAAGCGATCAGGTGCGCCGCGGTGATGCAGCCACGCACCAAAATTTCTACACGGGGACGCTTCAGAACCGCCCGAGCCATTCGCTGTCATCTGTGGTCGCCAGCCGAATTGCGTTTGAGAAGATCACGCCAGGCTGGATTGAGCAAATCATCAGAACTGATGGTGCATTGGTCTGCGTGACTTTTTACCGCAAGCGCCTAGTGGTGGTTGATCTGAAATCCCGCGACACCCTTGTCTCTGTCGTATGCGGCGGTGCTGGCCACCTGTGGCAGGTCCACATCGATTCTCAGCGTATCGCAGTTGCTTTTGTCAAGCGCCGGTTGTTGCTCAGCTACGTATTACCGATCTGTCAAAGCATCTGCGGCCAACTTGTGCAAGGTGTGTCATCCGTCGATATCCGCAGCGCTTCCCTTTCTGTTGTCAGAGGCTGTGTCCTTGCGGCTGTCGGTGGCGAGGACGGACTCTTGCGAGTCTGCTCGATTGCTGGAAATTCCCTGGCGATCCTTGTTGAGATGAAGCGTCATTCGTCGGCTATCCGCTGTGTTGCATTCACGAGTGACTCGCAGTTTGTTTTTACTGGTGGTGCAAGCTCCGAATTGCGCTGCTGGAAACTTGCATTCAGCGGTGATAGTGTGGCCACTGCATCTGCTGTCGAATGGGCGTTGGCACCGGTGCGTGAAATGGATAGCGATCCGCGCATCATGGACATCACTATCGTTAGCCAGTCATTATCGTATGTTACTACCGCCGCCGTCTATTCGGATGGGGCTGTCAAGGTGTGGCAGCTGGATGTTGCCCAGCACAAGTTCATATGTGTTGCTGAGAATGCAGCCGACACTAGAACACACTGTGTTTTGTCTACTGGCCACGCAAAGTTACCGAACTCCAGCCAGACACTTTTAGTTACAGGCGCAACGAGTGGCCAGCTCACTGTCTGGGATGTTACGGAATTTGTCACTGAAGGCGCCACAGACAGACACAACACGGTGGTTATGCACCCACTATGTGTTTGCCAGGGTGTGCACCAGTCAGGCGTCAATACTCTGGATGTGCAGGTTTCTGCTAGTAGCAGTGCGCTGTTTGTAGCTACGGGAGGCGATGATAATGCCGTTGCACTGACACGCCTTGAGTTTTCGTCACAACAAACGACAGCGCCAACGAGCTCGTCGGAAGCCTATGCTACTGCTCATTCATCATCTGTCCAACAGGTTCAATTTGTCGGTACAGGCAGGATCTGCTCGGTCTCCACTGACCAGCGTCTGGCATTATGGAAGTATAACGAGTACTCGCTGGAGATTGCCATGGAGAACATGGCATACACGCAGGTCGCTGACCCCTCATGTATGAGCGTCTTGGAGCATGATGGTGGAACAAAGATGCTTGTTGCAGGCATTGGTGTTGAAGTGTTCAACCTTGAATAGACGTTATCAATATGAAAACGGCCAATAGTAGTCCGTTACATTGTAATACTCCTATCTCTACCACCGGCATTCCACATCATCGTGTTGGTCAAATGTGGATATTTGAAAAAGTGATTTTTAATTCTAAAGAAAAGTGAGAAAAAAGACGAGCTGCACAGATGTACCGCCAATGCGGTCGTTTGTGCAACTCATTGGAGGCTTGATCCTGCCTACATTGTGTACGCTGCAACAGGGCTTCTAGCACCCAGCTTGCCCTCACCTGAGTCAGCTGACACATCGACATCGGAGACAGCCGTGGTTGGCGCGCAACAACATGAGCATATATCACTATCAAGATACTGGCATTGGATCATACGCTCATATTACCTAAGCAGCGTTATGCTAAGGCTTGAAGGTTCACCTCTAGATACGCCTTGCAAGTACACCCACTGTTTGCTTATTTGATGTGGGGCTAGGTGGCAGCGCCCTACATTTCAAGCTGTGTACATCTATGCATTTCCAGTGATATCGAATATAGTCCTCAGTTGTAGTTATCCTATTGTCCGCTAAGTTTAATCTCGTTTACCAGCATGTTTCTTGCGTAGGCACACTATCTACTACTTAGAATACATTGCCCCACTTTTAACTCAAATACAATTTTTGCCATCTAAGGGAACATATTTGCTGTAATCCACCAGGTGCTAACAAGAATGATCTATGCTACTAAGCAATCACCACCTATTGAGGTTGCAGTGGCTTTATCAAATGCGTATTTAAATCGCCTACTGATGCACCAGGGTCAGACTCGGTGATTTTCTCATGGACATGGGTCAATGCCATCGGCAACCGAGAGTTTTACCAGAACTGCGCTGACATTGCCATCACAGGGGCATCTCCGTCTCTTAGTGGGAAGGCGATGACGATCCTCAATTACCCTGGATATCCTACAGTTCCCGAGTTCATGGGCAACTTCAACACGGGGATGGAGTACTACCAGAACGCAACCACAGTTACTGTCTATCCATGAGTGTTCAGCGGCACTGCTTATTCCGGTACCATAGAGGAGTTTTTTTTTTTTTTTTCACTTGATTGCCTCTGTTATTTTTTGTGCATTGCCTCCTGAGCCCTCTCATGTGGGGGCTTGCCAGCATGGTTTGTAACACGGTACGTCATATCCAGCCGTTCAGTGATATACTAGGATTTTTCAGAAGTGCTATGACAATCAGTCTGCAGCGAGAGCAATGAGTATTCTTGAAAACGCAATCGAGGGTATCCTGAAAGGTGGATTCCCAGCATGGCGCATGTGCTTGGCACAAAGCTATTATTGGATACTTGTGGATATCCACCTATCCACCTATCCACCTATCCACCTGCATCGAAAAGGCGGTGTTTTGGCGCACCTGTATGCGAGTCGGTGATAAGCTCTTTCGCGCTTCAACGCCAGCCAAGATGGATGCGCAATTTCCTATTTGGTTTGGCTAGTGTCTAATAATAGCGTGTTGCCCAGAGATTGGCATGGGTTTTCTGCACTTGGCAGCAGTCGGGAGTGATGAAATGATGATCCACTCAGTCTATTAATTCCAAGTGATTGGCAACGCGCAGGCATGAGTGGTCGCTTTTAATAGTGGGACTGCTAAAGGATCCTTTGTAGCCCCTAGCGCTGCTGGCCTAGATTGCGGCAAGATGGGTAGCTGGCGGGCTTATATAAGACCGGGGTGCCCACCCACCCAGCATCGTGCATCACATCAGTCGGCATTACCTGCATCCATCCCTCATTACATCACACTTGTACACTAGTCAAACTCTTAGCATTACACGCTGGCCCGTGCATAAACTCCATTCATCACCGCTTTACGTTACTCAACCATGAAGACAACCATCATCTCTATCGCTTCTCTCCTTGCCCTTGCATCGAGCGTCGCGGCCCATGCATCGCTCAAGTACCCGTGCCCTCGCTACTCGCCCTTTGGCGAGGGTTGCCCTGCTGTTCCATCCGGCCAGTCGGTCGATAGCAGCATCAACGCGCCAATCAGCTCGATGACGCTGGGAGAAAAGCAGCCATTCTGCAAGTACACAACACCGTTTTCCAAGCCGTCGGCGACCTGGACTGCTGGCCAGTCGGTGACCGTAAAGTTCCACGATAACATTGCTGCGCACTCGGGCGGCCACGGCCAGTTCTCGATCTCCTATGATAACGGAAAGACATTTGCTGTCATCCACGAGGTTCTGCGGTACATGTTTGTCGGATCGAAGCCCTCTGGCCTGACGAACACCGCATCGGTTATGAGCTACACATTCAAGCTGCCGGCTAGCTTGCCAAGCTCCGACAAGGCGGTGTTTGCCTGGACGTGGGCCAACGCATCAGGGAACCGGGAGTTCTACATGAACTGCGCCGATATTGCAATCAAGGGCGGAAAATCCAAGTCGTACACTGGAAAGAAGATGACCGTTGTCAATTATCCTGGATACCCTGCTATGGCGGAGTTCAATGGCAACTACGACACTGGCATTGAGCTGTACAAGAACGCTCCCAAGATTACCATTTCCCCGAAGGGCTCAGGCAAGAGCCAAAGGGGTGTCAGATCTGACACTCCTGAGAGCGACGATTTGCCTGCAAACGATGGCTCGGCTGTTGACAAGAGCGATTCTACCAACAGTGACGACGACACGACTAGCTCCAGCAAGAATCAAAAGGGTGGCAAGTCTAAGCTTCCTGACAGCGACGATTCGCCTGCAAACGATGACTCCGCGGCTGATGAGTCCAGCTCTTCCAATGGTGGCGATGATACAACTGGCAAGAACGATACTGCTGCCGAGGGAAATGATGCTGCTGGTGCTGATGAGCCTGCAAACGATGGCTCTTCTGCTGCTGATTCCGATACCATGGGTACTACTGGTACGGAGGGAAGCACAGGTGATGAAATCGGAGAGAATGCCGACACCGGCGACAGCACTGCAGCCAATGCCAGCGATGACACGGCCGCTGACAACAGCATCCCCGACAGCAATGGTACAGCTAAGGATGGTGATGACGAGATTCCGCAGAGCTCCGCGCCGTCCATCCCTGATGCTGCTGAGACCGGCACTGCCGATTCTGGGTCATGCACCCACGGCGCAATGGAGTGCACTTCTGGGAACTCTGGCTACAAGGTTTGCCTGTACGGAAAGTGGAATGCGGAAGTGCCTTGCGCTGCTGGAACAAAGTGCAAGAGCTCTGGTGGCAGCGTCACCTGCGGGTGGGCTTAGGGATCGGCAAAGCGCAGCGAGCATATATACACCATTAGATGAATATTACTATGAATACAGTGCTTATATCTATATTGTGTTGTAGCGAATGCGGTTCAAAGAGTGGTTGGTATGGTAAACCTTGACCCCTGCGCCCAACGCCATATAGACCTACAAGGACCACCTGCTGCCAAATACAACTCGCTGAACCAGTTTCCATACCAGTGGGGCTGATTTGCAGACGCCGGATACCAAGTCTCCCAATGGATCCGACGCACAATCTGCTCCAGGGGTAGCAATAAGGCTATTCTAGGTGTATTCTAATTGCCCACTACCTCTTTTTAACAAAGCGTCTTTGTGGTGGGCGCATGTGAAGGGTCAGCATAGTTAGCGGCATTGTCCTTACATCACGCTTGATTTTCCTCGGGATCCACGCCGCTATTCTCTGTCGTCCTGGTAAAGGGAAAATGCGCCAAGCGCAGAGCAGGCAAGCTGCTGCAAAAGAGGCCGAGTGATCTGTCCACATTCGCGAACGGCGCTGCAATGAGCCCATCATTCGCAAAGGCGAGCATCACCCACATTGTCCGCCACGCAGGAGCTGGATCCGATTCGCTCTGGCAACCCGCTCTCTTTGCAGCATCCCATTCGACTCTGTGGGCTCAAAGCCACGGCTCATCTCAGTCCATAAAAGCAAGCGGTGGTCCAAGGTCTACACCTGTTGGCTCACCATCTCTCCCGCATCCTTTCCTCTGTACGCTGGTCGTGCATAGCATACACTTTTAACGACAACCTTCTGTTCATTCTTCTAACGCCCACCTGCAAGCATGAGGCTCTTTACCTGTGTCGCTGCTGTTGCTGTATTTGCTGCTTCCACTGCAGCCCACGCATCACTCAAGTTCCCATGCCCACGCTACTCGCCGTTCGGTCAGGACTGCCCACCGATTCCTGCTGGCCAGTCAGCCGATAGTGGCATCAACGCTCCAATCAGCTCCATGACGCTAGGCGAAAAGAAACCGCTCTGCAAGTATACCACTCCCTTTGGCTCGCCGTCGGCAACCTGGACTGCTGGTCAGTCTGTTACCGTCAGCTTCCATGAAAACATCGCGGCACACTCTGGGGGACATGGCCAGTTCTCAATCTCGTATGACAGCGGCCAGACATTTGCTGTGCTTCATGAGGTGCTGCGCTACATGTTTATTGGATCCAAGCCCTCAGGACTAACGAACACGGCGTCTGTTATGAGCTACACATTCACTTTGCCTCAGGATCTGCCGAGCTCCGACAAGGCTGTGTTCTCGTGGTCCTGGGTCAATGCCTCGGGAAACCGCGAGTTCTATATGAACTGCGCTGATGTGGCCATCAAGGGTGGATCGTCGTCGTCGTACACCGGGAAGGAGATGACCATTGCCAACTATCCAGGCTATCCGAGCATCCCCGAGTTCAACGGCAACTACGATACAGGAATTGATCTTTACAGCGGCGCAAAGCAAATCACTGTCGGTCCCAGTGGTGGTTCAGGAACTGGGACCACTGGTAATTACACCAGCCCAAACCCGGCTACCGGCTCAACTGCTCCGGCTTCACCAGGCCAGCCATCCCCAGCCCAAAGTTCAATGGATCAGTCTCTGCCATCCCAAGGTGCTCCAGTCCCTTCGTTCGGCCAAGGTTCCTCGATTTCTTCTCCAGCTCAGGACTCTGCAACCCCCATGTCCGCAGTCCAAGGTGCCTCGGCTCCTGCAACTACACCCCTGGGTACTGTGGTTCCCACAGCCCCAGTCCAAGGCCCTGCAGCTCCCACGTCCTCTGCACCCGCGTACATGCAGCCATCCAATACGCAGGCTTACTAGTAGTTTCGCTCACCATTGCTCTCGATACTGATTGTCCACCAATGCGTGCCCCATTGCTTGCACTACCAATGTCTGCCAGATGTGATGAATATATAACATATGTCTGACTCATGGGTGGCAATGTTGACTATCAAATGGAAGGGTTTTTTTTGGAGATTGTCCGCAATACCCATCCTGCCATTTGCAACCTGGAAGCAGCTATTGCAGAACACGCTACATGCAATTCTGCACTGCCCCATACTCAAACAAATATCCTGGCCGTCTTATCACCCTCGTGTTGCCAGGCAACATTCTTTTTCTCCTCTCGTAGCTTTTATTCTTGGTGCTGAGCAGTCGGGCGCCAGTGCTTGCTACGATATCCACACACTCTTTCTACCTGGGTGCTAGTGCTGTAGACTGGCCATGCGTTAGTTTTGTGCGGGAAAAGCAGCAGAGAGTACGCCGAGATACACTTCAAATGACGGCCCAAACACAGCTCGTTGGGCAATTAATCTGCTGAGGCATCTGATCGCCATCGCCATGCCGGGATTAGCAAGGCCATGCAAAGCCACTTACCTAGTCTTTGTGGGACCAGCCCGCCTCTCCTAATTTCCAACCCCGAAGGGCGATCGCCGCTATAAATAACCTCACCGACCCACGCGGCCGGCAAAGGTTGCAGACCGCATGGTTTCCCACATCTGAAAAGGGGGTAAGGACAAGGTGCTCTATTTTTGGGGGCACACCACACTGCAAAGATCTGTTCATTACGGTGCTGCTTGGCACATAAACGAGAACGAGTGATCTCACATTCCCGCTCAATCACAATTCTCCTTATCATTTACCCAATGCCCACACCCCTCCCCACTTCATCGCCCCGTATATTCTCACCCCATCTCCTTGTGCCTCCCTCCTGCTCTACAAAATGCTATTTGCCAAGTCCCTTTCGCTTGCCTCACTTTGTGCTGCTGCCATTGCCGCACCGTTTGCTTCCACACTCAGTGAGGCAAGCAGCCAAAACGTACAGACCTCGTCCGCCTCTGCCGAGTGCTTCGATGGCTACATGAAGTGTGCTGCTGACGGAATCAACTACAGCTACTGCCTTGATGGCCAGTGGCTGCCAGGACGCCCATGCGACTACGGCACTAGATGCGTGCAGTACGGCACCGCTGTATCCTGCAACCGCATCTAAAATCAGTGCTCTAGTCGATGCTTGCTAAAGAAAATGTCCTAGAAGTTGACATGGTTTCATGAATACGCTTGTTAAATACACTTGTCCGAAACCTGTCCGATGATGAGCCGATGTACGAAGGATACCAATGCTGACAACGCCTGTTAACCTAGGGAATAAATGGTTATCCAGTATACGAAGAAACAACCCCTCAAAAGTATGACTGAGGGGAACAAGGAGGCTGATCGTCTGCCTGGGTCTTTGTACCTGCGCATTTCGGCCTTGCTCATGGTGGCGCAGAGGACTCCAGACCCTGAATGCCAACAACGTCAACCATATACCATGCAGCAAAAGTTGCCTATGTACTGGTATTTAGCTGCCAAAATCCCTGCTCACTGGAAAACTAATGCGTAACATTGCTCGGCAGGCACTTGCTGTAAAGATGTGGATAAGGACGTTGGGTGGCATCGCATATGCAAAATTGCACCCAAGTATACCTGGAATTAGCTGTATGTAGGCTAACTCGCTGAGAAATTGATTAAATTGGCAACGCATCCAGTATCACTCATCATGGTGCAGATTCCCAAATGTGTTGTGTTGACATCAACAGGTTCGAGTACCGGTTTTGACCCTGACACCGGCCATCTCCGGTTTAAAAGCGCGAAAACCATGCTTGTTTCTAAGCAAATCCACACCTTGTGCATATTTGCCTCAGGAGAATTCACTCAGATTTTCCAGCCATGTGGTGCCTGCCACATGGTGGTGATTTCCACTGCCTTCTAGTCACTCCGCTAGCGGACTATTTTCCCACTCGTCAACAACATCGTGACCTCCGTTAAGCACGTTCATGGCCCGTATATCAGCCCGTCTGTAGATCACGATTTCTTTCTTTTTTGCACTTCTATGTGGTCTGGCATGTAGTCCCGAATAAACCGACGCCATTTATTAACTAAAGGCCGCGACACAATTCGCTATTGCCAACTTTCAAACAGGAAATGGTTTTGGTGAAACATTCAACCTTAGTGGCCGAAGGGGAGCTGCAGTTTGTACTCTTCAAGTTGCTTCTTTATCCTGGAGGCTGTCAGTACAGCTCAATCCGTACTATAAATACCGGCTCTCATGGACAACCACAAAGGAACTCCTCACTCATAGCTCCCTACGCTCCTCCTTTAATACGCGCTATACTTACCCCTCCATTTTAGGCTGGTCCTAACCCCGCTACACCACTACTTCACGGAATAATTTTTTATAGCAAAATGCTGCTCAAGATCTCGTCCATTATTGCTCTTGCCACCGCTGCCGCCGCGCACATGACGTTCATCCAGCCGTACGCGCGCTACTGCCCAGATAGTGGTTGTCCGAAGCCACCTGCTGGAGAGCAGGTTGACTACGACATGACCACCTCCATCGGAAGTGAGGGAACCGCGGTCAGCCCTATCTGCAAGCATACCAAACCGTATGACAACCCTGTGGCCACTTGGACCGCAGGATCAACTGTCCCTGTCAAGTTCTCACCTGGAAATGGCCACAGTGGAGGTCACTGTGAGTTCTCAATCTCGTACGATGGTGGGAAGACCTTTGTTGTGCTGAAGCAGGTGCTCAAGTACTGCTTCTACAGCGGTCCTGCAAATACTGATACTCCGTCTGTGTTGGACTTCAATGTTGAGTTGCCTGCCAACCTGCCTGGATCTAACAAGGCTGTGTTTGCATGGACATGGGTCAATGCATCCGGCAACCGCGAGTACTACATGAACTGTGCTGATATCGCAATTGTCGGTGGTGCTGGGTCTTTCACTGGCAAGCAGATGACTATCGCCAATTATCCTGGATATCCTACTATCCCAGAGTTCCTGGGTAATTATAACACCGGTATCCAGTACTACAACAATGGTACTCAGGTGACGGTGTCGGGTCCTGGCTACAATGGCTCAGGTGGTGGCTCGACTACCTCGACCACCTCAACCACCCGTACTACATCCTCTGCTCCTGCTCCCTCGACAACCACGACTGTGACCCCTCCTGTCACCACGTCAACTACCTTCTGCCTCCTCCTGCTACCACCTCGACCTCGGGAGGTGGCTCGTGCTCGAGCAACACCTACCAGTGCACGGCTGACAAGTCTGGCTACCAGGTGTGCCTTAACGGAGCCTGGAGCGGTACCCAGGCATGTGCTGCTGGTACTGTCTGTGTCCAGAGCGGCGCCAACGTCTACTGCAGCTGGGCATGATATATTCGTGTTGCAACTACCACCAAGCAGCTACTGTGTCAACCCTGGTCGCTAAAGAGGTAATAAATAGATATACTGAAGGAAACAAATCGCTTAGTTTTTATTCTTAACATCGTGATGATTGTTGTATATGGTTGACCATTGCGGGGGGCGGGTCCGGGAGTCCCCCTTGGCGCCACCACCATAGGACAAGGCCGATGGAAAACGCGAATAAGATTACATAACGCAGGGGCATACCTACAAGCTGACCAGGACAGAACAACAGGCCTTCCTTCTTCCCCTCAGTCAATTTTCCGGCAGGAATGATAAGTTATTATTGTTCCCATATATTCGATATAACCAACTCATTTCCCCAACGATTTAACCACTGACTGACAGCCTGATTGCTAATTTAGATATTTTAGTGCAGTGAAGTTTCGCTTTACACTAATTTGATACCAAAATAATTTAATTATGGCTATAGTGGTTGGCAATCTAGGATCCATAGTTTTCAATCTGTTATGTTGCGAGGACAGTACTGCTACCACTCTTTGGTAGAAGTTCATGGATAGACAGTAATCGTGGTTGCGTTCTGGTAGTACTCCATCCCCCGTGTTGAAGTTGCCCATGAATTCGGGAACTGTAGGATATCCAGGGTAATTGAGGATCGTCATCGCCTTTCCACTAAGAGACGGAGATTCTCCTGTGATGGCAATGTCAGCGCAGTTCTGGTAAAACTCTCGGTTGCCGATGGCATTGACCCATGTCCATGAGAAAATGCACCGAGTCTGACCCTGGTGCATCCACAGGAAGGGTGAATGTGTAGTTTCTAATCTCACGGTTGCTGCTGTCGTAGAAGCAGTGACCCATCACCTGGTGGATGACGACAAAGTTTGTACCTCCATCATAAGACAATGAGAATTCACAGTGGCCACCACCATGTGCCGATCCATGTTGCTCAAACTGGACTGTGACGTCCTGGCCAGCAACCCAAGTAGGCAGCTGGAGTTGGCCATGGTGTCTTGTATTTGCAGAGACGGCTGTAGGATGTTGCCGTTGGAGGCAATGGGCGAATTTTCGTTGTAGTCGCTTGTACAGCCAGGTGGCAGCTCGGGGCAAGCAATTCCGTTAGCGTTATAGCGCGGGCATGGACTGATGAGATCCATATGTGCCAGGGAAGTTGCAACTAACGCAGCAAGGATTAAGATGAAGCTAGTGTACATAACTGTCTGCAGGCGTAATACACCAACGAATTGTAAGAGTGGAAAGGAAGGCAACATGTACAAGAGTGTACTTGCAAATGGTGAGCTCTTTATCTGGCACATTTATAGCGTGGAAATGACTTGGTTTTGCCGAGTAGAACCTTGGCTCCAATTGGGGTTTCCAGAGCAGGATCATGAGTTCCAATCAACCTTTTGCACTGTGTGGGCTCAGATCACCGGACCGGCCCACCCATCGGCAACAATGGCATTTATTTATTAGTTGGCACCATGAGGTTCCAACAATATAGCGATCTCGAGCTGGACCTATCTGTACTGCGGCATGAACACAGTACTGACGGTATGTGCAATGATTTTTTTCGAAGAGTTCAGGCCATATTGGCGCATCTATGAGCTACCAGCTTAGTTGAGCTGGTGCGGGAAACAGGTGATAAGAAATCATGCCAGGCTCGCTAAACTCCTCTTCCACTCAGTCGTGATGAGGAGTAGGTCCATGCATGTGACGGCTAAGAGCGAATCATATAATTTGATGTTGGTAATCACAGCTAATTTTGTATTTCCGTATTCTCAACCAAGCCATAGTACAAACTACGCACTGTCAACACATGCGATATTTGACTATGTGCTACGTGCATTTTGCCAGGAAGCAGCTATTGTCAGGCAGCCCCACAAAGCCGCTGGTGAATGAAGTTGTAAGGCACTGAAATCAACGCGACTAAATATAGTATTTGGTTCGCAGTCTATTTTGGCCGGTGCAGCTGGAGCATGGGATGTTCATATTGTGACAAGAGCATGGGGGCTTTAGCAAGACCACAAAGTCCCATCCTTTGCGGTCTCAGACTGGCACGATCTTGGGTATAAAGTGCAACGCAGAGGAGTGGCCCTTGCCTTGAGAAGTGCTGATTCAATACCGCTCCTTTCCTTCTATTCCCTTCTTTACCTTTTACGCATTATAG